ACTGTTATCGACACTTAAAACTGGCCGTTTAAGGTGGCTGAACACAGTTTTGTGCGCGGTCAGCGGAAACTCGCGTGGCGGCGCGTGTTTTAAATTAGACAAGCAAACATGGCGGCGAAAAAAACAATGGTACAGAGAAGACGATTTCTCAAAATCTAAACATTAAAATTTTGTGATATTTGGCAGAATTTTTCCTTTTATCGTATTTTAAATAATGAGAACTTTAAAATGGAAGTTGAACAGACGAATTTTGCGACACATTTAATAACTACAGTACAATTATATTATTGATTATCTAAAAACCTGTCAGTTAAAATTTGGTCAAATAAGTTTCAAATGGTAATGATTACTTATAGTAAGCTGTGTGCAAGTTTATAGCAAAATCTAATGAGCGAATTTTGTGTAAACTGAGCAAAAGTGAAATTTTAGGGTTGTATTCAATCGTTCATGTTGCCATGGAAACTACGAAAACGCCACATTTTACCTGTCAATCAAAATCTTTCATCAATGTATTTTTCACTTGCCAAGTTTCAGCTTGTGAGCTGCAACCTTTCTCTTGCCATGATTTGGCAAATAACATATAGTCACAAAATGCCAAAACTGTGTTCAGCCACCTTAAGGCCTGGTTTAAGAACTTGACTGACTTAAAAAACCGTCGCGAACATGCGCTATTATTGTTGGACTTTGGAAGCTTTAAGCCCAAAATGATGGTGCAATCTCGAGAAATTTGCCCGGGTCTAATTTTAAGACAGGGAACGGGTACTAAGAAAGGGACGGTCTCATTTAGCAACCCGTGGACAATCTGGGCATTCTTGCCTTCTGTCGCAGGGGCAACCTTTAAGGCCAGGTACGCCGCCCCCACCCGAGAGGATTGCATGGCATCCACCATTTCAGTCGCTTTTTTTACATCATGACCTTCAATTATTATGAATTATAATGCGGGCCTTGATCGTTGCCACCTTACCAGAAGTCTAATCTTCGTACTGTTAGACCATGAGAATCTCTATTATTATTCCATAAATTCACCATTGACTTTTCCTTGCTCAGCTTCCGGTAAACCGACACTCCGAAACATAGTTAATTGAGTGGAATGGTTATGAAACCCGTCAGACTCCTTTGTTATATGTTTTTGTGGACCTGAAAGTGCACAACGTTCAAAAGAATTCCTATCATTTTGATTGTATTGACCAATAAAAACGTTGCATTAATTTATTCCGTAACAATTTGCCAACAGAAAACAAAGGATTGTGCACTTTCACGGTGCTTTGAACATAAACTGCAGCACTGTTGTTCTTATCATTGATGTTTGCCGCTTTTCATAACCAGTCTCCTCTAATAACTATGTCCGAAGCAAAAATAGCTTTACAACGACTCTATCCAGGCCAGAACTCCTGATATCAACAAATATACCCCCCCCCCTCTAAAGAAAGCAAACGTTCCCCGAACTATTCACTTGACCCACCCCATCCCTTCGTTACGAAAAACTACGCACTCAGTTCACTGGACAAAACGCGCTCGTAAATATACCAAACTATAGCCGTTCATCCTACAAGCAATCTCAGTTTCAGCAGGCGTGGCCACGTTTCCAGTTGCTGTAAGATTAATTCGACACCTGCAACAGACACTGTAAATTAAATAGAGTGTTTTCACTCACGTGGCCAGCATCTATACAAATTTATTGGAACAAAAGAAAGCGTTTGCATAAGAAAGGAGTTCAACTCCCTCAGGACTGGTTTGGGACTCCAACATGGCCGCCGTTTCATTGTTTTGGGACGCCAATATGGCCGCCGTGACGTCATGTGAAAACACTCTATACCTTGAAACTGTCAGGACGAGAAAGTTTATAAAAGACTTAACAGGTGTGCGCGGCGGTTTCCTTTTCTTCCTTTCCTCCCATTGCAGCACTCAAATTCGGACCCTGATATTAATTCTAGTAGTAATTAATCGTTCCTGAGCCGATAGGCACAAGGATACCAGTTTCTTGCAAAATATGCTGTGACATCCGTTTGCTCATCCCCTTTTCTGCCTTCGGCCGCTGATTAGGTTTGGTTCTGTGCTTTGAAATAACTTTAGGAACGAACATGATACGTGAGGGGCGTGTCCGGCTAAGGGCAAGTGACTCTCGGTGGTGAAGACATACTGAGCTTGTCAGTATTTCGTAGCCTGTACCACGTCGCGAAAATAGAACAAGCCAAAGAAAAATAAGACGCCTTTCTTTCCCCAGCCCACGCAGGTTTTTCGCATTACTTTTTACTGCACAACTGATTCTACCTTTTCGAGCCGGAGCGAACATGGACGCCCTCCACTTCATTTTCGGCACCTGACTAAACGCAAGCGCTGACTTGTGCGCCTATGCTTCGTTTGCACTGAAGTAGCAGTATATGACCACGACAGACTTGCTGATATCCTTGGTTTGAAACCGCAATGGGCAAGAACAATTTCTTGAAAAGAGCAAACTATTTCCTCCTTAGCAGACATGGAGAACAACTACTAGGACTTAAGCAATGCCATTGCTTAAGTCCTACTAGACTTGAAAAGAGAAAGCATGATGCTTTCTCTTTTTTATGATTTACGGCTAAACAGTACAATTTCATGTAGCTTTTACGCAAAATTAAATACTTAGTTGTTTACAGAATTGCATTTAACAACAAATTACAGAAATTTAACTAAGTTTAGATCTCATAGATAAGAATTGAACGGAAAAAACTTTTGGGGTAAAAAAGTCAAAAAATGTTTGCTGGAAAATCACTTAATGGACATAAATTATATACAATAGCAGAGATATCATGCCTGTAATTTTCCGTTCAATGCACCTTATGAGAAGTCTGACTAATCCACTGGTAACCCATGCCTTAAAACCGCCTTGAACCTTAAAATTTAATCGATTTGCCTTTCATGCGTAGTGCAAATATATCTTCTAAACACTCCGGGGTTGGGGGTAAAATCAGAAAAACAGAACATTCAGTTACTGTACCATTTTTAAAAGTGGGACAGTATGTTTCCTAATCATCTTAGTTAACCGCTTTTAAAATAGGACAAAAGGACACCTGGTCATACAGGAAAATGAATTTACTGTATCCCGAAAGCTTTGGTTTCCCGTGCACTTATTTTTCGCAGGAGACAATCGATAATTGCCTGGTCACGCAATCGGAGGTGAGTAAACTAATTAAAAGTCACTGATACCATCGCCCCTTAGCAAATACACTACGTGCTGCAAAGGATCCAAATTGCGCTAGAATGTTTTCCTATTCGGCCCACTTTTTATCTCAGGTAAGGTACTGCAAAGTGGACTCATTTACGAAGGTTCGAGCGAGAATTATTTCATGATGTTATTCTGATTTCGCAGTCACGGGAAAACAGACCTAGACTCAGGTCCACTCGCAGGCGCCATGGTACAATCTACAAGATCTCAAGAACAGACATTACCCATTGAACTGCCTCTCCTTTTGAAGATTGCGTGTATTTCATTAAAACAGGTACATATTTAAAAAATCTTGTTAGTTTCTCCCTTTTAACGAGCTCAAATCGATGCATAAAACTATGGTGACGTGCACGTGTCAACTGACCCTGGGGTCAATTAGCCAGCTGATTAGCGGTTGTTTGGGGCAAAATAACCTCAAAATAATCAATCTATTTTACAAGCGTTCGCGAGAACACCAGACTAACTTTCAGATAATGTTGAAGTACTATATGTCATTAGGTAGTGAGCGGGATTTGGGGTGATTTGGAGAATTCCCCCATATAGAAAATTCGATTTTGGTTTTAGCGGTAAATTGTTGTATTTATAAACATTATGCAAATTACTTTTGAAAATTGTGCTCGTTCGTCGATATTTTATCCTCTAAATCTAAAAAAATGTGCTGTTTAGAAATTGTTAATATCTGTTTTTTGAGATTTAAGCGGAAGATTGCCAATATATTCGCTCGTTTATGAAAGTCAGCTCATTTCTGTCGCTAGGCTATATTGCCGTGTTCGGCGGCTAATTTTAGGCCCGCGGACCGTTGAAATCGAAAATCTCAAATAATTCCCAAACTCGGCCGCATTTTGAAATTTAAACCTCAGCAGTGTTATAAACTCATAAAAACCTTATTACAGACTTAAAATGAGGGTAGGTTAGGTTTTGAGCTGTGGCCACGGTTTGCTCGATTTTCCTGTGCATTCGCTCTTAATACCTTATTTCATAATTTTAACATCACGTTTTGAGAAATAGAATTTTAAAAGTTTTTAAAAAAAATGATTATTAGACACTACATCGACTGCTGAGTTTTCGTTACGACAGTCATCAATAAACATCGATTGAAAATATTTTATGTTCAGCAGTTAAAAACTATCATAATTATCTCTTCCAATTGTTTTGTTTGTTTCTTTGGTTTTCGTTTGTCTGTTAATTTTATTTTTTGTTGTTGAGAGCGGAGCCTCCTTTTTTCTTTTGAGCGAGGAGGAGAAAAGTAGACTACGCTAAGCCTTTGAGATTGCCCAAGCCCGAACTTCAATCTTCAAGTTCATCTTATTTCGTATTGTTACACGTCTTTTCCCAGTGCAAGCATCATTTTATTGATAATCCGATGATCATCACTGATCATAACTGAGCCCGCAGGGACATGCTCAAGGCTATTAGGCCCAGGTTCGAAACCATATCCGAGATTCGAGTTGCGCGACTCAACAAAGATCTTACTGTTTTTATGCAAAGGCTTTCTCCCGTACGCCAAAGTCGAGCGAACGAAATAATTAAACGGTCTGCTTGAAGGGCGTAGGACACTGGTAAGACAAAAGCGAAATGAGCAATTTTCGTGTTTATAGACAGTGTAGGTCATGGTTTGATTAGACTTCGGCGGTACTCGCTCCTACCTAAACATCACTAAAGGAACGTTTTAAGAACCTAAATAGCCTAACTCGCGTTAACTACCCTTCATATAAGAACTTGTTTAGGCTAACATGGAAACTCCAGGTTTTATTCGCGGTGTTTTACTGTACGCCTTCCAGTTTTTTTTTTTTTTTTTAATAAATCAATAAGTCAGAAAATACGTAAAACATACAGTATGCAAATAGTAGAAATAGAAAGATTAAAGATTATATCCAAAAATAAGCCTATTCACAAATACATTGTTAAATCTATCAGTCGTTATCTGCGGGCGATGAGCAGTTTTGTTTCTAAGATGATACTTTGTTTCTTTCTTCTTTGGAATAATGTTACTATACGGGACATCGGGATCCACTGGACGTACTTTGAAAAGCTTCTTATCTGCCTTTTCCAAAAGTTCTCGAAAGTCCATTCTGTTAGATGTATATTTCCTCTTAAAGCATCTATCCAGGAAGTTTTGTATGAGGGTGAGATCTAAGACTACAGCGACATAAACAGACACAGTTTTTACTAAAAGGGATTGGAGCCTTAGTGTATTCAAACCTCCAAAGGGAAACTCCGATGAGTGGACTATGAGTATCTCTTTGGAAAAAGCCTGTTCTCTCATAAATGAAGGTGAAAAAGAAGCGTCGGCAACTTGCATTTGTCGCCGGTATCAGTTCCTTAATAAATGGAGGTCCAAAAATATAAATGCATGCTACTTAATCATTCAAACAGTTGTATGCTCTACAGAAATTGTGAGAGCATCCCTACCAAAAGGGCTAAATAATTAACAGACACATAAAAGGAAAAAGAAAACCTTGTGACAACCTTACAAAAAAACTGGTTTTTAACCGAATGTTTTAAGATTTAGGTGTGAGTACATATACTTCAACAGTTAAACAAGGCCAACCATGATATGTTATAGGAAAAAACCTAACAAATCTCGCTTTCACCACTTGACTGAGTTTCTGTCTTACGACACCCTTCAAAACGGTACTTGCTTGGAAAACCTGCAAGTGAAAACAAGAAGGTATTTAATTAGTAGTGTAGTAGGGATGTTTTAAACCGTTTCTTTGAAGTGGAATCTCGTTAATTTGAAATGGAATTTATCTACGTTGATAATGTCATACCCCGTTTGTCTTTATCTAATGAAGGAAATGTGGGGAGGATGTGTCACGGCTGGCTAGTTCAGTTTGTTTATTAAATCAATAAAGAATACTTCATGGAAAGTGCTGGCGTACGGTATTTACGCACGAGTTGTTGACGTATCAGAAATCGAACGAGTGAGCGCAGCGAACGAGTAAGATTTCTGATACAAAAACAACGAGTGCGTAAATACCGTACAAAGCACTTTCCATGTGGTATTGTGTTTATTATATACATACCGAGACATTCATCATTTTGGCGGCCTTTTTATTTTAAATCTTTCAAAGATGCTTATTTGCCGCTACACACTTGCCGCAAAATGACAACGAAAACGAAGTATCAGCTTTTTAGTAAAAACGTTTGTTAAAAACATAAATGACGGAAAGGATATGAGGTAACTTAATCCAAGAACTATAAGTAATCTTAACTGTTTGTTGTCAATGCACAATTGAAAATGAGTGAATTTAAGTAAAATGGCCGGTTTCAATATAAGCTTAAGCTTAAATGAAAGGCAAAGTAGCTCCGACAAAAAGCACAACAAAAGCTTACGTCCCGTTCTGTTTTTCCCTTCCCGCTGTTGTTTCGCCGGCTCTCTACCGTTTTCTTTATCGACAGTGAAATAAACGAAACTATTGCACTCCATGTCCGAAATGTTTTTCACTTTTTTAGCGAGAAAAACTCTTTGAGTAAAACTTTTCTCGTTGAATGTGTGCGAAGCGGCGCTGCAAGCTGCAATAAGAGGCGGGAATTTTGGCGCGAAACTCACACACCTCTGTGGCCTCTGATTGGGCGTATCATTTTTCTCACACGTGAAAAAACATCGTTCGCGATTCTGATTGGACGTATCATTTTTTTCACGTGTGAAAACCATCGTTCGCTCCTCTGCTTGGCTAGAACTAATTTGCGTACGAAAATTTACGACATAGCTTTTTGGTGAGTATTTCTCAGTGTATGTATATAATAATGCAAATTACGCGACATAATTCGCTATGAACTTGAACAATAATTTTTGAATGTCAAAATCACTGCTTCTTGTACAACATTTATGTCTCCCAAGCACTATATCAAACGTTGCAAACAACAAAAATTAACTTTTGAAAAACCAGTGAGGCTACAACAAGGTTTCAAACACCACAATTGCTTCCGCTTCAATCTTCTGCTTGTTTGTCCATCTGTGTAATCTGTGCCTTCTTTTGTATTTCCTTTGTTATTTATCCCCAGCTTCTGTTAACTTTGGGAGCGGTTATTTACGTAGTATAGGAGTTAGGGGTACGGGGTCATTTTTTTTTTACCCATTTACCCCAAACTGGATGGTTTGACCTTGACCTTGGGTGCCTATTCTTAATTTAATGTTTTATAGTGACCATATGAATAATTGCTTATACCATTATTGTGAACATATCTTTTGTCATCAAAAAAGGACAATGATATTTTATTTAGCTCATAACTCCCTAGTTGATGGCGCGTACTTCTGATAGTATTCATGTTATGATACATTTGTTGGTTTTGTAATAATGTGCCTTTGTAATCCTTGTGTTAGAACGTCCTTTTTTGATACCTTTGGCTGTTTTTTTTTTCCTATTCTTGTCATTGTTTTTTTGTATATGAATACATTTTTTATCTCAATCCAATGAATTCAGTAACTGGTACACCTGCAGCTTCATCTTTGAATTTACCAATTACTTTCTTATTTGTTTTATCAGAGTACATGGAGTCTGCCAGGTAATCACTGTTATCAAACTTATTTCGGTCAGCCCAAAAGTCTTTGTATATGACTTCAGCTTCAATCTCGTAAGTTAGTGAATCTGTATCAGCGAATAGGAGTTTGGCTTTGTTTTTGTATTTCTTTTTGATGTAATTATAATGGAAGTCATGCATCAGTGTCTTGGATAGATCTAAAATACACATACCAACATAGGCTGGTCTATCAAGAGTCAGTGTTTCTTTTATCTTATGAAGTGCCAAAAAGTTGTCATTGAAGATTTTACTGTTCACGTAAGTAGGTTTGGATGCCAATTTAGATAATTTTTGCTTGTCACTAACAAGTTTTACATCAACTCGTTTTCTGATGTTTTCCATGATTTTACCAAATACTGAGTCGTTCATCAGTTTAAAAAAGTCTTTTTCAAATGACTTCTTGGAATTAGTTCTTTTATGTGTATTAAAATCAATGTACTGTTTTAACCATGGTGATTGACTAAATTCCAATAAACGATGGAGTTCTTGGAGTTTTAATCCGAGATTCAGATATAACTGCAGATTTCTGTAGTGAACTAGGTAAGGTAAGGTAGGGTGACGCCTTTATTTAAAGTGGGTAAACACGTGACAGTTATGAAAAAACTGATAAACTTGTGGCCCTCTATAAAACATAAAAACAAGATTAATATTAAAATAATTTTACACTATCACTATAAAAAGATAAAAATTAACATTAAAAGAGGCGATTTAAAAACAAGCAAAGATAGTATTATGTACTATTATCTAGAATCTTAGTTAGAAATTTTAACTGTTTAAAAACTCCCTACTATCTAAAACAAGTTATTTTACAAACTTAATACTTAAAAGATATTTGAAAGTATTTAAAAAGTGTTTAAAAGATATTCAAAATTACCTGTCTCTTTTTGCTCAGCGATCAAATTCGTATACTATTTCTTTTTAAAAGATTTCACATTTTTCACCTTCTTTACGTCCATGGACAGTTCGTTCTAATTTCTAATAGTTCGCACGCGGGTCCGGCCTCCTTCTGTGTTTTTCTTAAAAACATGAAAATTCAAATTCAAATTTGCAAAACGAGTGGATCGGTCATGAATATCAGAATTTGTCTTTAATATAGAACTAATATAATCTGGAGTTGTACCCTCTATTCTCTTAAAGGCTACAGAACAGCTGCTTATATATGCCTCGATAAAAAATGAAATCCATAGTTAATGTGCGTGTTGTTCTCTCGGCGTCCAATATAATGCGTGCAGCTCTCTTCTGCATCCGTAAGACTCTTTCTAGCAATTCTTTATTACACGATGACCAGATTGGACTCAGGTACAGCATAACTGGCTTAAGTTTATAGTAGCAAGATGGAAAGTTAAATTGTGTCTTTGTTTGAGATAAGGATAATATGCCTCAAAAGTCCAAGTCGTTTTGACAGTTTCTCACATAATTCATCTATGTGTGCTTCAAAGCTAAGATCTTTATCAATGACTAAACTCAGTAACTTGTGACGCGATAACTGGTGGTTATTTGTGGCGTCAAGGCGTAGCTTTAAGGTGGCTGTTTCCTCACTAAGCTTATGTTGTAACCTTTTTCCCGTAACAAGTAACGGTTTAGTCTTCTCGGTATTAATGTCATTTTGTTTTCATTTGACCATTTCTCGATATTCTCCAAGTCATTAGAAAGAGCCTGAGTTAAAGAATTGATATTATTCCAGTTTGCACTCAAGGACAGGGTGGTATCGTCAGCATATATATCAATGGTGGAGTTGTTCAAATGTAAAGGCATATCATTCACAAATAAGAGAAATAAAATTGGACTGAGAATTGATCCCTGTGGTACCCCTTGACTGACAGGCTTCGGCTCTGATGTTATATGCCCTAGTTTCACAAACTGTCTTCGCTCTTCCAGATACGATCGAAACCAGGCCACGGTATCTGGGCTGGCACCATACACTGACAATTTCATCAGTAGTAGATTTTGATTGATTACGTCGAACGCTTTACGGGAATCAACAAATACTAGTCCCGTGACGTCATCATTATCCATTTTAAACAAAATTTCGTCCGGGATTCTGATAAGAGCCGTTTCAGTGGAATGAGCAGAACGGAAGGCTGATTAGATATAGCAAATTGTTCTCTTGAAGAAATTTTAGTAGCGAGTTTGCTAAAAGTTTTTCGATGATTTTAGACAGGATTCGCAGCACTGATATGGGGCGATAGTTATTTCTTTCACGATGCTGTCCACCTTTGTGCAGTGGTGTAACTTGGCAAATTTCCATCTGTCAGGGAAGGTATTGGATGCACTGAATTGATAAGTTCAGTAGCCTGCAAAGTGGGTGGATAAATGATGGTGCCATAATTTTAAAATTCTCGGTTCTCTTTCGATTACTATTCATGTTTTGCCTCAACGACAGAATGATGTTACGTAACGGGAAAGGTCTCTTGGTTAACGAAGCTCCCTAGTAAGAAATCCAGATCGTTTGCTCTCCTAACTTGCCTCTGAAAGGGCAAAAAAGGCCGAGAATTTTTTTTTTTTTTCTACGTAAGCTTATGGGTAGGAGAAGGTAAAATTAAGTTATAGTTTACCTTTTCTGCTTTGTTCTCCTGGTACGTCTTGTTCCAGGTTACTCCATCCACTGAAACTCGTACGTAATACGTTTTGGTATACTCGCCAGTGTTTAACGTTTGCGTGGCCACTTCACAAACAGTATGCACTGCACCCATGTCAACTTGAAGATAGTCTGTCCTATCACTAGTGGTCTTTGGACACCATCGGGTTCCCCTTGTTGTATTCACTCTTCCGTAGTACGGTTGATAACCCGAACTGTAAACTGTGCTTGCCGTCATTCTGGAATCTGGTATCTTCTTTGGGTCCGTTACCCCTACAGCGATACATGCTACAAAAATGGACAATGTATATAATGTATTAATCAGACAGTCCCAATTCATGTACGTAGTCTTTTGTGGAATTCAGCAAAAACACAGTTAAAACAAATCAATAAGAAACTTGGCGACTGATCATTTGTCCACGGTAGCTGTGTTTTAAGTCTGATACGTTGAATTGTTATTTTTAGAAAACCCACTGCGACAGGGTAGAAAATTGCGTCTAATACACGGACGCCGAAGTAGAAGTACAATTCTCTAAAACAGTGTTGCCAAGCTGCCATTAAGACTCCATACAACGTACTTAAAGACTTTGTCAATCTACAATTTTTGTTATGAAACATCTAAAGGAAAATCTTGCATCCAAACATTCCTGCTGTGTGAGAAAATCACAACACTTCCACCAAGAATAAATCTCAGTAGATTCAAGTACACGCTTTGAACGTTCGTTTCGTTTTTCCTCTACTTTGAGAGAGCATCAGGATATTTGTAATTTGCATATTTATCTGCCAACCAAGTTGTTTCTTTAAAACATATTAACTAAATTAAATTTTGCGCCCATTTATCAGATTATGTAAACCTCATTACGACTTGTAATGCGGTTTAAAAAAGATCATCTACCGTCTTCTCCGAAAATAAAAGGAACTCATCACTCACGCATGAGAGTTTGAAAAAAAAAAAACTAATTTAGATTGATGTCTGTGGAGATTAATTGCTGGAGGTTTTAGAAATCTGTTTCTTACACGTCATACATGTACATTCACAAACGTTTCAAAATAAAGTGAACACCTGCAACCGTCTCTTCTTCGCATCTTTGTCCCTTCCAGCCACTACTACATTCACAAGTGTACCCTTGTCCACTTTCCTCTTCATGGCAGGTTCCTCCATTGAGACATGGGTTGCTATCACACGCTTTAAAAGAAAGGCATAGTATTGAACAGTATTGAGCGAGATATCGGTAAAAAAATATTAACAAAAAAATAAGAGAATTATTAGGTAACCCTAAAAAATAATAATATTAATAAAATATCATGTTTATAACTTATTTTACTTACGTTTTGAAATAAAATCTAAATTTAATCAACGGAATATAACCAAAAGAGGCAGAAAATGGGCGTAGGGCGACAATTGAAGACTAATTATAATTCTACAATGCTTGCGGTATTTTTCCAAACGATAAAAGGCAAAGCAACCAAGGCTAGAAAAGACTAATTCATGATCAAAGAGAAGAGAACCTGGCTTTTTGTTTTGTTAAAAGTCCGAAAGATTCTATATGATTCAAGAACACAAATGTGATAATTACCTCACAACAATTTAACCTAAATTCTTCTTAATCCCACATTCTTTATGCATTCTTTACGCACTATTTAATTAATTATGATCATGGCATTAATTTACGTAAATTTTATATTGTACTTAAGTCAAAAGTTTAAATTACTTTACGCGTTAATTCAACAGTAAATCATGAAATTTTGCTCGACAAATTAGAACATTATGGAGTACGTGGTATTGCTTTACAATGGTTTAAAAGTTATCTTTCTTGTCGAAACCAATTTGTGCAGTATAATGGTTACAACTCTTCATCATTAGATATCACTTGCGGAGTCCCTCATGGATCTATCTTAGGTCCCCTGTTATTCTTAGTTTATATAAATGATCTATGTAATGTGTCAAAGGTCTTAGAGCTGAGACTATTTGCTGATGACACTAATATCTTCTATTCGCATACTGATGCTTCCTGTCTTATGGAAGTTGTAAACTTAGAATTGAAAAAGATAACGTGTTGGTTTTATACAAATAAGCTATCTATTAATGTTAAGAAATGTAATTTTATCATATTCAGACCGAGACAAAACAGGCAAAAACTTGATCTAGCCTTTAATATTAGTAATTATTTGATTGATCGTGTTAAGGAAGCTACTTTTCTTGGTGTAATTTTGGATGAACATTTAACACGGAAATCACACATAAATAATGTTGCTCGGAAAGTCTCTAAAGCCATAGGTATAATTTATAAATCAAGTTTTTGCCTTAATAATTCCTCCTTACGGATGCTTTATTTTAGCCTTATCTACCAATACTTATTCTATTGCGTAAGCGTCTGGGCATCGACCTACCCATCAAACCTCAGAAGATTAATCACACTTCAAAAACGGGTCGTAAGAATAATGTCGAGGAGTGCTTTCGATGTTCACACTGACCCCTTTTTTAAAAATTTAAAAATTCTAAATCTTAAGAGTATCTACAAACTTCAAATAGGAAAATTTATGTATCAATACAGATCTGGCTTACTTCCTTATAGCTTTAATAACATGTTTTTGGTGACACGCCAGGTGCATTCTTATGGCACTAGAAGTTCGAAGCATTTTTATTTACCACAATGCAGTACTAATATAAAAAAGTTCTCCATCAGTTTCCAAGGTCCTAAATTCTTTAACTCTCTTAAATTTGAAATTCGAAATGCAACAAGTACCGCTTCCTTTTGCTGTAAGCTGAAAGCATTCCTCTTATCATAAATATCAATTTATATGTCATTTCGCTTTTTTTAGCCTAGAACTATGATTAGTACGACTATCTAATATACTTATATTAAGATTTACTGTAGCTCTGCCATTGATTTTCCCATAGGTAATTATGATAATATTTTGTTCTAATTATCTAACTGAGGGAGCCCATTCCTTATAAGCCCGGTGGCTTCTCGTGGGCTTCCTCGCCATGAGAGTTTAAGTAATTATATTTTATTTGATTTGTACAATTTTTAACAAAAAACACAATAAACAATAAACAAAAAGCAAATACTGGAAGTAAAAGTTTTTATTTACAACGAAAGAAACATACGTGTGAGGACATATATTTCAACTGTTAAACAAGGCCAACCATGATATGTAATAGGAAAAAATCTGACAAATCTCGCTTTCATCACTGGACTGATTCTCTGTCGCAAGACACTTTTCAAAACAGTACTTGCTTGAAAAACCTGCAAGTGAAAAAAAAAAAGTCATTCACAGTGTAGCCACTAAAAGACTGGTGAAACCTACTTAGTCGTTTGCCAAAAGTTTATTATTTACCAATTTAATTTGACTCAAGGTCGCGGAAAAAACAAAGCGCGAAATAGAACTTTAAGGCTCAACACAGGAAAATGCATGAGAAGAAGATACGGAATAAACCAGGACGAAAATGAAAAATCTGCATTAAGAATGTTTTATTACAGACCTTATCTGTGAAATTCTAACGCCATAGAAACGACTTTCTATGCATTCAAACTACAAAATGTAAACTACTAGCGCAAGTCACTTTATAAGTTGCTGTGCGCTCAATTGCAATATTATTATTATACAAAAAGGACAAATTAGGTAAATTAACGTAACGTGCTTTATACTCATTAGTTTGAAATAGTATACATTAGAAGTTTCCTGGATAAACGTCTGATTTTTTTTATAAATAACTTAACTTGTATGTACAATTTTCTGTGAATTAGATGACACTTATGGCATACCACAGGACAATGAATAAATGTCTGGGGTAATAAGAGCATTACAATGTAAACAAAAACAACACCTCTGATACCATAGTAGTCAAGTTTCTCGGTTCTCTTTCGATTACTATTCACGTTTTGCCTCAAACTTAGACAACAGAATGATGTTACATAACGGGAAAGGTCTCTTGGTTGACGAAGCTCCCTAGTAAGAAATCCAGATCGTTTGCTCTCCTAACTTGCCTCTGAAAGGGCAAAAAGGCCGGGAATGGTTTATTTTTTTTCTACGTAACCTTATGGGAAGGAGAAGGTAAAACTAAGTTATACACAGCATGAAAATGGAGATTTACGCAAAATTAAAGTTTGCGTAAACCTGCGTAAAGTTGGTCATCCAACTTTACGCAAACTTTCCACGGCGCGTAAAGGTTTGTAAAGGTAAATTTACGCGCTCGGCTCTTAAAGGTTTCGTAAAGCTAGCATAAAGTTGTTGTAACAGCTTTACGCTCATTTACGCTACAAGTAAAGGTTTAGTAAGCTTGTCATATAATGCTAGCTTAATTCCTAACAGCAATTTATTCCCGGCACTGTTTTTAGTAAGTCGTTTGTGTCCTGATACTAGTTCGCATAGTTTTTTTGATCACTCATTTGGTGTTCGATGTTGGTGTGCGATGTAAACAAGCCAACCACGCAAATTTTTTTTGGTGGTGCGAACGACTTCGTACACGCTTAAAAATGACGCTGAAAAGAAAATTCTGCTGGCAGAGTTCATGCAAAGATATAGCTTGCGACTGTGCGGCAATTTTCGAAAAACGGCATATCTGTCGCGGCAAACACAATAGCCTTCAATACTCAGTAGTATTCCCTCATTGATTTCAGTCAGTATAAGGTGTTTCTTCCTTAACGGTCACCTCTCTACACGGGCCATTTTTTTTTTTTGTTTTTTTTTTTTTCGGCGGACGGTCCATACATGACATACATTTACTCTTCTTTCAACCTCTCTACTATGGCCACTTTCTTCGATATGATGTCCCTAAGGTGGCCGTTGTAGAGAGTTTCAACTGTAGTTTGATCAAATTGAAATAATTGGAAAATAAAGAAAAAATATCGCCTCGCAAAAACGGCGAGTCTTACTTAAAGAAAGAACGCATTCAGAAAATTACTGTGACCATTTTACATTCAACGGAGTACTGGCTTCATCGTTTGGGAACGGACAATTTGTTAAAAGAAAGGGGCCTGGAAACAATAGAGTGAAGGGACACCTGGTCAGCGGGCTTGTTCCTTTTCACATGCTCAATCAGGTTCGTTGATTTGGCGTCCATTTTGAAAGTGTCCAACGGTTTCAAACTTGCTTCTTTGAAAGGTTGGAGATCGTTCATATATTATGCTTCTTGATAGCATCACAGGACATCTTAAGGTTGTTACAATTTATAATGGCACTATCAGCCTTTAGTAATCGATCACTTCTCAAGTGTGCAGCAACCCTTTCGGGACGAGATACGCAGTCAGAAATGGAGACAGAAACATCGTGTGAAGCACAAGCATTAACACTGGAATGTTCACAACACAGACCAAGACTGTATTACACGTATTACTAAGGCTCTTCGATACTCAAGATCTCGCTGAAAAGAGCAGATAGTAAGGCAAGGTAAGTTGTCCTGGCTCGCCTTTTCTCTAACTTTTTAAGCTTAATTCCAACTTGTTTATGACGAGTTCGAATGACTGTCTCAAGTACTCAGTAACTAACATTTCAGTGAGCAATGAAACCAGCATTAACCGTTTAAAGTAAATTATAACTAAACATGTGTATTTATTTGGCATAACCTTTCAATACTAAGCAAGCAACGAGACCATGACGTTGAAGATGATAATGTAAAATCATGTAAGGACTTTGGGGTCTGAAGGAGTAGAATTTCCTTGTTTTGTACTGGAAAATAGGAGTTTGGTCACTGGTACTGGGAATTACTAAAAGAAAATAATGGAATTAAGAAAGGACATCTGTATAAAGTAAGCTTACATGTAATGTGATACAAACATTCTTATGAAAATTTTCACAGACTATAGAAGAACTAATAAACAGAATAGAAAAGTGTTAACAAGTGTTGAATTTGCAAGTAGGCAAAGATAATCTACGTAGTCTGGTTCTATATTTTCATGTGTCAGTCAATAACAAACCCAAGCTTCCCAATTCCCCGGGCAGTCATAGCGTCATAAGTGGTGAATAATTTAACAGCATGCATGTATTTTTTGAAGCAGATACAAAAGTTTATTTTTGATTTTAAATTACGTGGGTTTTAACTTAAATGAACAGAGAATGAATAGACATTTTCATGAGTCTTTCAATGCATAGCTAATGCAGACCATGATTGAATTAGAATGTATTTTCATGTAAGTGCCAACATAGTTGTTAACATCTTCACAGTTTCATACCTTCATCTGCAGTTCAAAGTATGATTCATTTCATATATTACCATTAATTTTAATCTTCATTGTGCACTGCTCCTATGAAATTATATTGTGGTTCTTGAGAGAATATAGTGCAGCACATACTGTCAGGAAATTGAATGCCTTACTTTTTTGGGAAGCAAAGCACACAGTCATGTTAGAAACCAGAAATTGTTCTATCTGCACCATAGTTGTATTGTCAGTAAATCTAGGTTTAAAGGAAAATAAAATTTAAAGAAACAAGTTGTGAAAGATAGGACTGTTAAGAGAGTCATAGCAGTCATAGCTGTTTTGGATTCTCTTGTCTACATACACCATTATTAATCTGCAAATACAACTGTCTCTCTTGTGAAATGTCCCTGGTGGCAAGGAAAGAAAATAGGCTGCTTTATTTACAGGGTACACTGTACATTATTATTAGGAGGCATTGTTTTGAAGATTGAGGATAAGGGCTTTAAATAGCAAAGTGGCTTCACTCCTGTTACATTAACTAGGAACCTTGAACGTTTCGTATTAAAAAAAAAAAAATATATTAGGTAAAGTTTCAGGAAAATTTGAAACTTTTGGGAATAAGGTGCTTATATGTTTCTATATTTTCCTTGAAAGTCTTTGGTGGAGCTCATGAGAAGGCTAGGGATGTTTATTGATTTGGAACTTTAGTCCGGGACAGGTAGAAATTTAGTTCGAACATGTAAACCTTTGATATGACTTGTCCGTGGGACAAGCACATTGTTAATTAGAAAAATAAAGATAAGAAACAATATTCCATTTAACTTTGCCATTCCACTGCCAGTCGTTTCATCCATTTGCTTTTTACAAGCTCTGTTGTAGGTTTAATTCAAAAATAATATACAAGGGTAATAATGTGATTAAATAATGTGATTAAAAACATTAAATGCCCGTTGCAAGCTAAACTTTTTGGACAAGAACTCTAGGTTTCGGACAACCAAGTTTAATGTATTGCTTGTGTGAAGGACAAGTGGATAGGAAAATTTCTCTCTTACCAGGGTGCAAAGAAGGTGATTTTTAAAGCTTGCCATTCGGGCAAGCTGAAGCTAGCATATAGTAGCCCAAATGTCATTTCAACTAGCCCCCAAACCGTTTTGATGAGCAGAATCGATTTCACAGTTCTTCGTTAATTTGAATTCCTCAAAAAAACTTCACTTGCCCATCGGGCAAGTTAAGTTCAAAATTCACTAGCTCGATAGCAAAATCCACTAGCCCCGGAGTATCGGACACTACTTTCTTTGCACACTGCTTACTCTCTAATAATAATAATAATGTACATCCAGTGGTTTTTCATAGCACTTTACAACGATATTAATGGATGATACTTTTATAAAAATGCATACATTAAAATAAAAAAAGATATACATTGTAAAACATTGAACTCTAATAATATAATAAACCATTGTTGATAAATTTAACATATATATATGCTTCAGTCTCCCCAACTAGTAAGGCACTGTGCCTGTGTTATAAGACATGAGACTTTAATAAAGTTCATTACTATTATTATTATTATTATTATTATTATTATTATTATTATAGGGTTTCCATGTAGCATTTTACCCTGATTTTCACTCAACTGCAAGTAGGGTTCTGAATGTAAATATTATTGCCTTTAAGGAAAGCCTTTAACTCATACTAGTCAAACATTTTGAATCTTTAACAGTCAGATGAATCTTATTCAGTTGTGTGAATTTGTGGACATTGAAATCATTTGCTACTCAGGTTTTGCACTGTTATTAGACCACTTGTGGAAAATGCCTTATCATTCTTTTCAAATTTTTAGTCTTGGTTTGTGAAAAGAGGCATGTGGGGAACCCTGTGTCAAGTAAAATTGTGCTGATTGTAGTAATTTGGCCATGAGTGTGGGAAAAAATATTATTAATTAGTAATAGCAGGCGGTGTCCTCTGGCAACTTAGGGGGGGTGTTTACATGATACCGGGGCAACTTTTTGCCCCGGAGCGAGTTCACTCCGGTTCCCTCTCATAGCTCTATATTTGTTTACATGATACCACCACAAAATGTCATGCAGGCGCGAGTCACCCCAGCGTGAGTTCACCCGGTTCTTGTGCGGGCGAGAATTTCACTCTGGTACAAAATCTCATGGCAGTATCATGTAAATGCGAAACGACCACCCGTTTCGGCATGAAATCGGTCTGCCGGTAGACTGGAATGGGTAGCGCACGCGTAATGTTTGCTATTTTGTATCCCACTTGTATTTTATCAACATAAAGTGTACCTTCAAATAACGAGATATGAAATGACTCAGTCATAATGTAAACCCGATACAAAATCAAAAAGTCATCCTGGTATGAGACTCGCGCCGGTGTGAGTTTTCTCATGTAAACACCCCCTTACTGTACATGTACTTGTGCCTTTAGTGCGCGATTAAGTGTATTATCACTAGCCTACAAATAATCTGTGTAGTTTACTCAAATAATACTTGCTTTCTATTTATTCAGCAGATCAGCCTGGTATGGGATGTTGGTGACAGAAAGTCCTCTCAAAGCAAACAGGATTAATACATGTTAATTACAAGCCTTAGTCTTGTAAAGTGGTTCCAGGGCTGTCACTAAGGGCCATAAACCAGACTTTAAATCGGCTACTTTGAGCCCAATACTTGGATGTTTTGAGAGGAAACGAAACTTTCCACATTTTCAATGTCCCGCTCACTAATTTCACTTAAACCCTGCAACTTGCAATCTTAGTGACAGCCTTGTGCATCTAACTTTTACATCATCAGTTTATGAAAATGATTTGTTATTTGGATTTTGTTGTTAAGTTTGACTGTAAAAGTGAAAGGGCTAAATCAAGAAACCATCAATGTTATACATGTATTAGGCTTTCAGTCTTTTTATTTCTTATCTAAAATTGTTTAAGCTTTTAATTTGAATTATGCCAAATTATACTAAATATTTTCATTTTGGAAGAGACCATTTTGACCCACCTTTACATTAATTTGCGTGTTAGAGTTGCTGTTTTTTATCAAAATTTAACTTCATCAGTTTTCTTGTACACCCTGTACCTTACATGTAAATGCTAATAATTATTTTAAACTATAAATCATCTTAATTTGGTATAATACTAAGTTAAGATGATTTTTTTTGGATATTTTGAGAAGACTGTTTTGACCCATTTGAAAAGTTTATGTACACTGTATCTTCTTATTTAAACCTTACGTGTTGGAAAAATTTTCGTTTTTTTTAATTTTTAATGTAATGACAAAGATGCTAACACAGAAATAAATCATGCTATATTTAGAAAATTCAGTTTTAGAGAATCAGTGTGTTTTGTTTTTTAAAACCTTGTAATATCACTCTTTGCGGGACTAAACTTAAAGAATGCGATTCGTATTTGCAGTTTTTGCAGTTACAACAATGTAGCATACCTGGCGATTTTCATAGGATTTGAAATTGGAAACGGAAAGGGGCCCTATTTTTTAAACTACTACTTATTCAAAGTTCATCTACTGGTTAAACAATATAACTCCATTAAAGCAAGTTATAACTTAATAGTAGGGATGACTAATGTCAGTTTGAAGTTGGGTTCTTATTTTTCTATAGGTCTATTGGGTTCTCAACGCTTTATAACTTTTCGTTTTTGTTGTCAGTTTTGAAGAATAAAAACAAAATTTCTGGCCTAATCCTTTAACTGTGTGTTGAAGTGTTGTTACATATTAGGGTATTTTATTTTGTGTCGAAACTTGAATTGAGGATTACTCATACAATTATTTGTAATGTATATATGAGTAATCCTCCATGGCTCCAGATTGTAAATACTATGGAGAGATGATGGGGAACCAAAGAAAATAACCGGTATTAAGTACACAACAAAAATCCAATGTTTGTGTGACATGGACAAAAATAAAATTTTGATTGTTAAAAGTTTGGTAAGAAAAATTTACCGATTACCATTATATTTACCGGTATTTTTAAAGTTTCCAGTGTGTTTATGTGTATATATATATTTGGCGTAAAGGAGCTTGTATTTTCGCTTTACACAAGCTTAAAGTAGGGTTTACACAAGCTTTACGCAAAACGTAAAGGTGTTGCGTAAAGTTTTTGTTTCATTACGCCAGCTTTATATGTACGCGTAAAGGTGCTGTAAAGCTGAACTTTACGTAGAGTAAAGGAAGCGTAAAGTTGTGTAAAATTCAACTATACGCTGACTTTACGCTGTCATTACGCTCACGTAAATTTGATTTTTCATTCTGTGATAGTTTACCTTTTCTGCTTTGTTCTCCTGGTACGTCTTGTTCCAGGTTACTCCATCCACTGAAACTCGTACGTAATACGTTTTGGTATACTCGCCAGTGTTTAACGTTTGCGTGGCCACTTCACAAACAGTATGCACTGCACCCATGTCAACTTGAAGATAGTCTGTCCTATCACTAGTGGTCTTTGGACACCATCGGGTTCCCCTTGTTGTATTCACTCTTCCGTAGTACGGTTGATAACCCGAACTGTAAACAGTGCTTGCCGTCATTCTGGAATCTGGTATCTTCTTTGGGTCCGTTACCCCTACAGCGATACATGCTACAAAAATGGGCAATGCATATATATGTATTAGTCAGGCAGTCCCAACTCATGCACGTAGTCTTTTGTGGAATCCAGCAAAAACACAGTTAAAAAAAAATCAATAAGAAACTTGGCGACTGATCATTTGTCCACGGTACGTAGCTGTGTTCTAAGTCTGATACGTTGAATTGGTTTTTTTAGGAAACCCACTGCCACAGGGTAGAAAATTTCGTCTAATACACGGACGCCAAAGTAGAAGTACATTTTGGCAATTCTGTACCAAATTCTACAAAAATGTTGCCAAGCTGACATTAAGATTCCATACAACGTACTTAAAGACTTTGTCAATCTTCAAATTTTGTTATGAAACATCTAAAGAAAAAACCTTGCATCCAAACATTCCGGCTGTGTCAGAAAATCACAACACTTCCACCAAGAATAAATCTCAGTAGATTCAAGTACACGCTTTGAACGTTCCTTTCTTTTTTGCGCTACTTTGAGAGAGCATCAGGATATTTGGAATTTGCATATTAAATCTGCTATCATCATTTCCATTTCTTTTCTAGTCTTTTGATAGAAGAACTTGCAACTAACTCTTTGTAATTGCCCTCTACCCTATTTTAAGATATTTAGGGACCAAGTGGTTTCTTTAAAACATATTAACTAAATTAAATTTTACGCCCATTTATCAGATTACCTAACCCTGATTAGGACTTGTAAGGCGGTTTTAAAAAAAAACATCTAACGTCTTCTCCGAAAATAAAATAAACTTATCACTCACGCATGATAGTTTGAAAAAAAACTAATTTAGAGTGATGTCTGTAGAGATTAATTGCTGGAGGTTTTAGAAATCTGTTTCTTACACGTCATACATGTACATTCACAAACGTTTCAAAATAAAGTGAACACCTGCAGCCGACTCTTCTTCGCATCTTTGTCCCTTCCAGCCACTACTACATTCACAAGTGTACCCTTGTCCACTTTCCTCTTCATGGCAGGTTCCTCCATTGAGACATGGGTTGCTATCACACGCTTTAAAAAGAAAGGCATAGTATTGAACAGTATTGAGCCAGATATCGGTGAAAAAAAAAATTATAACAAAAAAAATAAGACAATTATTAGGTAACCCTAAAAAAATAATAATATTAATAAAATATCATGTTTTAATAACTTATTTTACTTACGTTTTGAAATAAAATGTAAAAGCGATCAACGGAATATAACCAAAAGAGGCAGAAAATGGGCGTAGGGCGGCATTTGAAAACTAAATATAATTCTTGACAATGCTTGTGGTATTTTTCCAACCGATAAAAGGCAAAGCACAGAAGCTCAGTTAATGTGTTACAAAGATGTACCAAGGTTAGAAAAGACTAATTCATGATCAGGGAGATGAGAACCTGGCTTTTTGTTTTGTTAGAAGTCCTAAAGATTCTATATGATTTAAGAGCACAAATGTGATAATTACCTCACAACAACTTAACTTAAATTATTCTTGATGCCACATTCTTCATGCATTCTTTACGCACAATTTAATTAATTATGATCATTGTATTAATTTAAGTAAGTTTTATATTGTACTTGAGTCAAAAGTTTAAACCACTTTTCAGCGTTAATTCAAAAAGTAAATATTGGAAGTAAAAGTTTTTATTTACAACGAAAGAAACATACGTGTGAGGACATATATTTCAACTGTTAAACAAGGCCAACCATGATATGTAATAGGAAAAAATCTGACAAATCTCGCTTTCACCACTGGACTGATTTTCTGTCGCAAGACACTGTTCAAAACTATACTTGCTTGGAAAACCTGCAAGTGAAAAAAAAAAGTCATTCATAGTGTAGCCACAAAAAGACTGGCGAAACCTACTTAGTCTTTTCCCAAAAGTTTATTATTTATTAATTTAAGTTGACTCAAGGACGCAGAAAAAAAACGAAGCGCGAAATAAAACTTTAAGGCTCAAAACAGGATAATGCATGAGAAGAAGATATGGAATAAACCAGGACGAAAATGCGAAATCTGCATTAAGAATGTTTTATTACAGACCTTATCTGCGTACTTCTAACGCCATAGAAACGACTTTCTATGCATTCAAACTACAAAATGTAAACTACTAGGGCAAGTCACTTTATAAGTGGCTGTTCGCTCAATTGCAATATTATTATTATATGAAAAGGACAAATTAGGAAAATTAACGTAATGCGCTTTATACTCATTAGTTTGAAATAGTATACATTAGAAGTTTCCTGGGTTAACGTCGGATTTTTTTAAATAAATAACTTAACTTGTATGGGCAATTTTCTGTGAATTAGATGAAAATTGTAGCATACCACAGGACAATGACTAAATGTCTAGGGTAATAACACCATTACAATCTATATACAAACAACACCTCTGATACCATAGTAGTCAAGTTTCTTGGTTCTCTTTCGATTACTATTCATGTTTTGCCTCAAACTTAGACAACAGAATGATGTTACATAACGGGAAAGGTCTCTTGGTTAACGAAGCTCCCTAGTAAGAAATCCGGATGGTTTGCTCTCCTAACTTGCCTCTGAAAGGTTAAAAAAGGCTGGGAATAGTTTATTTTTTTCTACGTAAGCTTATGGGAAGGAGAAGGTAAAACTAAGTTATAGTTTACCTTTTCTGCTTTGTTCTCCTGGTACGTCTTGTTCCAGGTTACTCCATCCACTGAAACTCGTACGTAATACGTTTTGGTATACTCGCCAGTGTTTAACGTTTGCGTGGCCACTTCACAAACAGTATGAACTGCACCCATATCAACTTGAAGATAGTCTGTCCTATCACTAGTGGTCTTTGGACACCATCGGGTTCCCCTTGTTGTATTCACTCTTCCGTAGTACGGTTGATAACCCGAACTGTAAACTGTGCTTGCCGTCATTCTGGAATCTGGTATCTTCTTTGGGTCCGTTACCCCTACAGCGATACATGCTACAAAAATGGGCAATGCATATATATGTATTAATCAGACAGTCCCAACTCATGCACGTAGTCTTTTGTGGAATTCAGCAAAAACACATTTAAAGCACATCAATAAGAAACTTGGCGACTGATCATTTGTCCACGGTAGCTGTGTTTTAAGTCTGATACGTTGAATTGTTATTTTTAGGAAACCCACTGCGACAGGGTATAAAATTGCGTCTAATACACGGACGCCAAAGTGGAACTACATTTTGGCAATTCTCTACCAAATCCTACAAAAATGTTGCCAAGCTGACATTAAGATTCCATACAACGTACTTAAAAACATTATCAATCTTCAAATTTTGTTATGAAACATCTAGAGGAAAATCTTGCATTCAAACATTCCTGCTGTGTGTGAAAATCACAACACTTCCACCAAGAACAAATCTCAGTAGATTCAAGTACACGCTTTGAACGTTCCTTTCGTTTTTGCGCTGCTTTGACAGAGCATCAGGATATTTGTAATTTGCATATTTATCTGCTATCATCATTTCCATTTCTTTTCTAGTCTATTAAAAGAAGACCTTGCAACTAACTCTTTGTAATTGCCCTCTACCCTATTTTAAGATATTTAGGAACCAAGTGGTTTCTTTAAAACATATTAACTAAATTAAATTTTGTGCCCATTTATCAGATTACGTAGCCCTGGTTAGGACTTGTTAGGCGGTTAAAAAAAAAACATCTAACGTCTCCTCCGAAAATAAAAGGAACTCATCACTCACGCATGATAGTTTGAAAAAAAAAAACTAATTTAGAGTGATGTCTGTAGAGATTAATTGCTGGAGGTTTTAGAAATCTGTTTCTTACAAGTCATACATGTACATTCACAAACGTTTCAAAATAAAGTGAACACCTGCAACCGACTCTTCTTCGCATCTTTGTCCCTTCCAGCCACTACTACATTCACAAGTGTACCCTTGTCCACTTTCCTCTTCAAGGCAGGTTCCTCCATTGAGACATGGGTTGCTATCACACGCTTTAAAAAGAAAGTCATAGTATTGAACAGTATTGAGCGAGATATCGGTGAAAAAAAAAATTAATAACAAAAAAAATAGGACAATTATTAGGTAACCCTAAAAAAATAATAATATTAATGAAATATCATGTTTATAACTTATTTTGCTTACGTTTTAAAATAAAATGTAAAAGCGATCAACGGAATATAACCAAAAGAGGCAGAAAATGGGCGTAGGGCGGCATTTGAAAACTAAATATAATTCTTGACAATGCTTGTGGTATTTTTCCAACCGATAGTATATAGATTTAGCCAGGGCTAAAAGCGAAGCTCTCGTTTATAAATTCATAATTTAAATCAAACAATAAACTTGCAATCCACAGATCAGGGCACATTCATTTGACTTTTGACGCAAAGGCTAAGTGATTTTAGAGAAAAATAATTTGACAGTCCAAGAGTGAAACAAATTTTACATCGAGTTATTAAATAGTCTTATTTGTACACCCAAGATAGCAATCATGTTCGATCACAGTAGATTAGGCCTGGAAAACAAATAGACCTATTTATGTATTGTATTTGCATTAGCTGTTGCATCATAATCTCGCATTCACCAGTCTCTCCAACATTGCTCCGTTAGAGAGGCTATGGATAATTGGACAACCCCGAAATATAATTTTAAGAAACACACGCGCCACGATAGTCCTTGGTGGCAGCCAATTTACACGTTGCATTCCTCTGTCTAAAAGAGAGGCCAAAATAAAAAATTAGGCCGCATTTTTTGTGTTCGACAAGTTTAGTTTACTAGTAAATCTTGGCGACGAATCTGGTGGCGTGTAAACCAGCCTTATAAACATACTTTTTCTCATCACGTCTCAGGTAAACAGTACTCCGAGGCCCTTTTTTATCATACAGACCTCGGACATAATTTTTTCTTTTTTGCCCTATTTAAACCCATAATTCGGCAGTTTTTCACAATTTTGCAAGAGAATTTGCACTCATTCAATATCCACGACGATCAAAGCACGCGCTTCCTTTGCACAACAAATTATAGCATTGAATTATAAAACGTTGTCATGAAGAGAATAGGCCACTTGCACTAAGAGGTCACGTGACCAATGCTTCCTTTAAACAATGAGTTGGAATCTTGCTGATGCCAAAAAATTGTTAGAGCACACAAAAATTATCTTAAACCCGAAATTTGAGAGGAAACGCATTTAAGGGAGATGTTTTATGGCACTTTGATTTTTCAGCAAAGCAGTATGATTTGTATTGGCCGCCATGTTGGAGGGCATGCTTATGCCCTCCAACATGGCGGACAAAAAACTTCTTGCTCATATCTTGTTCAACGTTTCATATTTACGCTCAGATGTGCTGTAGACGCTATCACATCATCTTTTTAACATTTTCCTTGAAGTTTAAGTGCAAAATTTGTGTTCAGAAAGAGGTAATTCATAATTTTAAAAATCACATGTTGGTCACGTGACCATTTACGAACTTATTCATTTTAAGAAAATGGTTCGGGTTTGAAAAACCAAATCATCATTATTTTGTTTAAGATATGACCCACTAATCGTTTTTCGAAGGCAAAATCATATAACTTTCATTTTCATAAAAACGATGTCATATGCCTCTTAGTGCAAATGGCCTATTCTCAGATAATGCCGGGACTTTTCAGTTAGAAAAATCTGGTCCTATGTGATATGCAGGGTAATAATTACGGGCTTTAAATGAAAACGATAAAAAAATTCCCCAAATCACTTTTCGGCCAGCCGGACGGGTTTCTCACTTTGACAGGCACCAAATTTGCAGTGCGACTAATACAGTTACCATTTACGCTTCAACGTGATAGAGAAATTGTTATGTTTAGGTTTTATTTCCCTTTATTTAGTAAACTGTGCATGGTTTTGTTATTTGTAATCTTTAAAAGCGAGTGATATTTACGGGCGGCGTTTTGAGTATTCCTGCATGCGATGTTTATGTTCGACTGGAAACAACCGGTGCAGCGATAAAAATTGCGAGAGAGACTACTAACAATCAATAACATAAACATAATTCGGTGAAACATGTACAGAGACAATAATTTTCATTCACGAAGAGAAGTATTGAGAGTAAAGTGTCTCTGAAAATCATGAGTCAGGTACGCATAAGCTTATTTATTTTTTAAACCGGCTCCCGGTGTTTGCTCTTTTTCAAGATGAACTCCAGGCAAGAAAATCGCTCAGAGCTTTCTGTTTACGGCCAAAATCATAACTAAATAATCTCCGGAATCTTTTCTTTGAATTTGCGGTCAAAAAATGTCTAAAGCCTTTTTAAACCTGATACTATTGTAGGTTAGATCATTGCTCGTGTATAAACTCAAGCCGCATAAAACATACGCTCGACTTCAGGAAACCGAAAAAAAAAAACACTTCAAAGACAATAATTGCTCAGGCTTACCAGTCGAGATGCTGATTCTGAAGGTCATCAAGTGTTCCAGAATCGCTTGAGACTTTTCAACCCTCTTACGCCTCAAGCAAGGGCAAGTGAGTAAGCTCATTTTTGAAAACGATGCCATCCGAAATCGGATTTCCAATGACTTTGACAAGCGGTGCATTTGTGAACAAAAAGCGCAATAAACAAACCAGCGATGAATTACAGAACAATCTTGATAGCAGCTGTATTTCATTTTGTACACCAAGTAGAAAAAGACAGTTTAAAACATCGCAAGATGAGACAAAACTCCCGGACAAAACTCTGTCAGCTCCAGCTATCAGTAAGCAAGTTTCCAGACGCTGCATAAATTTTCCGCGTGAACTCACCTGTCAAATTTTGACCAATCAGAACATAAGAATTGGACGTAGAGCGTGATCAACGCGTGACAGTGAGAAAAGTCAAAAGCGATTGCCTTCCCTGCATGTAATGTAAAAGCCGGTTGAGTTTTCGCGTCCGAAGTCACTTCGAAATCAACATTTTAAAAGTGCTGCTCATGAACACGACTTATTTCATATGCATTTTAAAAAAATTGAACTTGAGCCTGCGATCTTTTTGAAAAGTATCAACTTGTCAGCGGATACCTTCAAAAAAAAAACACTCGAACTCAGTGGGTCGATACCTGAGCCTGCGATACGGTCAGGCGATACTGGTCAGCAGAAACACTATTCTGACAGCTGTCAATTAATCAAAACATGGATGTACAATATTAGGTTGCAGGCTCCCAAACTAGCTAGAAAGTGTGAGATTAAACATTGGTATGCATGTGATGCGCACGGACGGAAAGTCGGGTGGTCATTGTACGGTCACGTGATTGCCGAATTCTCTAAGATGGATAGATTTTCTAAGCTATGGGGCTTCGAATTGAGCCCGTGATCAAATAAAATATCAGCGCAAAACTTTAAACAGTACGTGACCTTAATGGATAGAAAAATGAGCCCGCAATACACTCAGGTGATGATGGTCAGCGTATACTCTAGTTTGACAGCTGTCAATTAAACTTCATTAGAATGGCGAATATTCGAATTAACAGACTACGAGTGTGAGTAAGACATATCCGTCCGGCATGTAGTGGAAAATGCCAGATCGTGTACCTGGGCGAACCTGAGCCCGCGTCATTAGTTTTCTGATAGTGGTCTGCACATGTCCCATTTTGACAGCTGTTAATTGACCTTAATTTGGCTTGCCAATATAACTTTAAACTACTGTCATCCAACTGACAGCCTTGCCCGGCGTAGTTTCGTTTTTATGTTGAATTGGTAAGTGTGACATATTATATCAGCTTACATGTAGGGGCAAAACGACTGGCCTTTCATCTGATCCCGCGAGATGGTCATGTGATAATTGTCAGCGGATGTCTCATTTTGACAGCTGTCAATCTAATCGTCCTCATATGGATGGCTTACATAACTAAGAGGCTAGTCAAGTTGTGCAAGATCTATTGTGACATTTGACATCGGCTTACATGAACTGTGTGTACGGGTGGGCGTACGCTACGTCATAACCAAATTTTCTGGGAAAGATAGTTTACCAAATTTTCTTGCCCACGGTGCTCCCCCTGCGCGCGCGCGAAGCGCGCCAGAGCTCCGCTAAAAGGCAAAGCACAGCAGCTCCGTCTATGTGTTACAAAGATGTACCAAGGTTAGAAAAGACTAATTCATGATCAGGGAGATGAGAACCTGGCTTTTTGTTTTGTTAAAAGTCCTAAAGATTCTTTATGATTTAAGAGCACAAATGTGATAATTACCTCACAACAACTTAACCTAAATCCTTCATTGTAAAATCAAATCATTGTATTAATTTACGTAAGTTTTATATTGTTCTTGAGTTAAAAGTTTAAATCAGTTTTGAGCGTTAATTCAAAAAGTAAATATTGGAAGTAAAAGTTTTTATTTACAACGAAAGAAACATACGTGTGAGGACATATATTTCAACTGTTAAACAAGGCCAACCATGATATGTAATAGGAAAAAATCTGACAAATCTCGCTTTCACCACTGGACTGATTTTCTGTCGCAAGACACTGTTCAAAACGATACTTGCTTGGAAAACCTGCAAGTGAAAAAAAGTCATTCATAGTGTAGCTACAAAAAAGACTTTCGAAACCTACTCAGTCTTTTGCCAAAAGTTTATTATTTACCAATTTAAGTTGACTCAAGGTCGCGGAAAAAACAAAGCGTGAAATAAAACTTTATTACCAATTCAAGTTGACTCGAGGTCGCGGAAAAAAAACGAAGCGGGAAATGAAACTTTAAGGCTCAACACAGGATAATGCATGAGAAGAAGATATGGAATAAACCAGGACGAAAATGCGAAATCTGCATTAAGAATGTTTTATTACAGACCTTATCTGTGCACTTCTAACGCCATAGGAACGACTTTCTATGCATTCAAACTACAAAATGTAAACTACTAGCGCAAGTCACTTTATAAGTGGCTATTCGCTCAATTGCAATATTATTATTATTATATGAAAAGGACAAATTAGGAAAATTAAAGTAACGCGCTTTATACTCTTTACTTTGAAATAGTATACATTAGAAGTTTCCTGGGTTAACGTCGGATTTTTTTAAATCAATAACTTAACTTGTATGGGCAATTTTCTGTGAATTAGATGACACTTGTGGCATACCACAAACAATGACTAAATGCCTAGGGTAATAACACCATTACAATCTAAATACAAACAACACCTCTGATACCATAGTAGTCAAGTTTAATCTTGGTTCTCTTTCGATTACTATTCATGTTTTGCCTCAAACTTAGACAACAGAATGATGTTACATAACGGGAAATGTCTCTTGGTTAACGAAGCTCCCTAGTAAGAAATCCAGATGGTTTGCTCTCCTAACTTGCCTCTGCAAGGTTAAAAAAGGCCGGGAATAGTTTATTTTTTTCTACGTAAGCTTATGGGAAGGAGAAGGTAAAACTAAGTTATAGTTTACCTTTTCTGCTTTGTTCTCCCGGTACGTCTTGTTCCAGGTTACTCCATCCACTGAAACTCGTACGTAATACGTTTTGGTATACTCGCCAGTGTTTAACGTTTGCGTGGCCACTTCACAAACAGTATGAACTGCACCCATATCAACTTGAAGATAGTCTGTCCTATCACTAGTGGTCTTTGGACACCATCGGGTTCCCCTTGTTGTATTCACTCTTCCGTAGTACGGTTGATAACCCGAACTGTAAACTGTGCTTGCCGTCATTCTGGAATCTGGTATCTTCTTTGGGTCCGTTACCCCTACAGCGATACACGCTACAAAAATGGGCAATGCATATATATGTATTAATCAGACAGTCCCAACTCATGCACCTAGTCTTTTGTGGAATTCAGCAAAAACACAGTTAATACAAATCAATAAGAAACTTGGCGACTGATCATTTGTCCACGGTAGCTGTGTTTTAAGTCTGATACGTTGAATTGTTATTTTTAAAAAACCCACTGCGACAGGGTATAAAATTGCGTCTAATACACGGACGCCAAAGTAGAAGTACATTTTGGCAATTCTCTACCAAATCCTACAAAAATGTTGCCAAGCTGACATTTAGATTCCATACAACGTACAAGTAAAGGAAAATCTTGCATCCAAACATTCCTGCTGTGTGAGAAAATCACAACACTTCCACCAATAATAAATCTCAGTAGATTCAAGTACACGCTTTGAACGTTCCTTTCGTTTTTGCGCTACTTTGAGAGAGCATCAGGATATTTGGGATTTGCGGATTAAATCTGCTATCATCATTTCCATTTCTTTTCTAGTCTTTTAAAATAATACCTTGCAACAAACCTTTTGTCATTGCCCTCTACCCTATTTTAAGATATTTAGGAACCAAGTGGTTTCTTTAAAACATAATTTAACTAAATTAAATTTTGTGCCCATTTATCAGATATGTAACCCTGATTACGACTTGTAATGCGGTTTAAAAAAGACCATCTAACGTCTTCTCCGAAAATAAAAGGAACTCATCACTCACGCATGAGAGTTTGAAAAAAAAAAACTATTTTGTAGTGATGTCTGTGGAGATTAATTGCTGGACGTTTTAGGAATCTGTTTCACACACGTCATACATGTACATTGACAAACGTTTCAAAATAAACTAAACACCTGCAACCGACTCTTCTTCGCATCTTTGTCCCTTCCAGCCACTACTACATTCACAAGTGTACCGTTCTCCACTTTCCTCTTCATGGCAGGTTCCTCCATTGAGACATGGGTTGCTATCACACGCTTTAAAAAGAAAGGCATAGTATTGAACAGTATTGAGCGAGATATCGGTACAAAAAATAATAACAAAAAAAATAAGACAATTATAAGGTAACCCTAAAAAATAATGATATTAATAAAATATCATGTTTATATCTTATTTTACTTACGTTTTGAAATAAAATGTAAATTCGATCAACGGAATATAACCAAAAGAGGCAGAAAATGGGCGTAGGGCGACATTTGAAGACTATAATTCTTTAATACTTGCGGTATTATTCCAAACGATAAAAGGCAAAGCACAGCAGCTCAGTGAATGTGTTACAAAGATATACCAAGATTAGAAAAGGCTAATTCATGATCAGGGAGATGAGAACCTGGCTTTTTTATTAAGATTCTATATGATTTAAGAACACAAATGTGATAATTACCTCACAACAATTTAACCTAAATTCTTGTTAATACCACATTCTTCATGCATTCTTTACGCACAATTTCATTAATTATGATCATGGTATTAATTTACGTAAATTTTATATTGTACTTGAGTCAAAAGGTTAAATCACTTTTGAGCGTTAATTCAAAAAGTAAATATTGGAAGTAAAAGTTTTTATTTACAAGGAAAGAAACATACGTGTGAGGACATATATTTCAACTGTTAAACAAGGCCAACCATAGTATGTAATAGGAAAAAATCTGACAAATCTCGCTTTCACCACTGGACTGATTTTCTGTCGCAAGACACTTTTGAAAACGGTACTTGCTTGGAAAACCTGCAAGTGGAAAAAAAGTCATTCATGGTGTAGCCACAGGAAAATGACTAAATGTCTGGGGTAATGACACCATTACAATGTAAATACAAACAACACCTCTGATACCATGGTAGTCAAGTTTCTCGGTTCTCTTTCGATTACTATTCATGTTTTGCCTCAAACTTAGACAACCGAATGATGTTACATAACGGGAAAGGTCTGTTGGTTAACGAAGCTCCCTGGTAAGAAATCCAGATGGTTTGCTCTCCTAACTTGCCTCTGAAAGGGCAAAAAATGCCGGAAAAGATTAATTTTTTTTTTTTTCTACGTAAGCTTATGGGAAGGAGAAGGTAAAACTAAGTTATAGTTTACCTTTTCTGCTTTGTTCTCCTGGTACGTCTTGTTCCAGGTTACTCCATCCACTGAAACTCGTACGTAATACGTTTTGGTATACTCGCCAGTGTTTAACGTTTGCGTGGCCACTTCACAAACAGTATGCACTGCACCCATATCAACTTGAAGATAGTCTGTCCTATCACTAGTGGTCTTTGGACACCATCGGGTTCCCCTTGTTGTATTCACTCTTCCGTAGTACGGTTGATAACCCGAACTGTAAACTGTGCTTGCCGTCATTCTGGAATCTGGTATCTTCTTTGGGTCCGTTACCCCTACAGCGATACATGCTACAAAAATGGGCAATGCATATATATGTATTAATCAGACAGTCCCAACTCATGCACGTAGTCTTTTGTGGAATTCAGCAAAAAACACATTTAAAGCACATCAATAAGAAACTTGGCGACTGATCATTTGTCCACGGTAGCTGTGTTTTAAGTCTGATACGTTGAATTGTTATTTTTAGGAAACCCACTGCGACAGGGAATAAAATTGCGTCTAATACACGGACGCCAAAGTGGAACTACATTTTGGCAATTCTCTACCAAATCCTACAAAAATGTTGCCAAGCTGACATTAAGATTCCATACAACGTACAAGTAAAGGAAAATCTTGCATCCAAACATTCCTGCTGTGCAAGAAAATCACAACACTTCCACCAATAATAAATCTCAGTAGATTCAAGTACACGCTTTGAACGTTCCTTTCGTTTTTGCGCTACTTTGAGAGAGCATCAGGATATTTGGGATTTGCGGATTAAATCTGCTATCATCATTTCCATTTCTTTTCTAGTCTTTTAAAATAATACCTTGCAACAAACCTTTTGTCATTGCCCTCTACCCTATTTTAAGATATTTAGGAACCAAGTGGTTTCTTTAAAACATAATTTAACTAAATTAAATTTTGTGCCCATTTATCAGATATGTAACCCTGATTACGACTTGTAATGCGGTTTAAAAAAGACCATCTAACGTCTTCTCCGAAAATAAAAGGAACTCATCACTCACGCATGAGAGTTTGAAAAAAAAAAACTATTTTGTAGTGATGTCTGTGGAGATTAATTGCTGGACGTTTTAGGAATCTGTTTCATACACGTCATACATGTACATTGACAAACGTTTCAAAATAAACTAAACACCTGTAACCGACTCTTCTTCGCATCTTTGACCCTTCCAGCCACTACTACATTCACAAGTGTACCGTTGTTCACTTTCCTCTTCATGGCAGGTTCCTCCATTGAGACATGGGTTGCTATCACACGCTTTAAAAAGAAAGGCATAGTATTGAACAGTATTGAGCGAGATATCGGTACAAAAAATAATAACAAAAAAAATAAGACAATTATTAGGTAACCCTAAAAAATAATGATATTAATAAAATATCATGTTTATAACTTATTTTACTTACATTTTGAAATAAAATGTAAATTCAATCAACGGAATATAACCAAAAGAGGCAGAAAATGAGCATAGGGCGACATTTGAAGACTATAATTCTTTAATACTTGCGGTATTATTCCAAACGATAAAAGGCAAAGCACAGCAGCTCAATGAATGTGTTACAAAGATATACCAAGATTAGAAAAGGTTAATTCATGATCAGGGAGATGAGAACCTGGCTTTTTTATTAAGATTCTATATGATTTAAGAACACAAATGTGATAATTACCTCACAACAATTTCACCTAAATTCTTGTTAATACCACATTCTTCATGCATTCTTTACGCACAATTTCATTAATTATGATCATGGTATTAATTTACGTAAATTTTATATTGTACTTGAGTCAAAAGGTTAAATCACTTTTGAGCGTTAATTCAAAAAGTAAATATTGGAAGTAAAAGTTTTTATTTACAACGAAAGAAACATACGTGTGAGGACATATATTTCAACTGTTAAACAAGGCCAACCATAGTATGTAATAGGAAAAAATCTGACAAATCTCGCTTTCACCACTGGACTGATTTTCTGTCGCAAGACACTTTTGAAAACGGTACTTGCTTGGAAAACCTGCAAGTGGAAAAAAAGTCATTCATGGTGTAGCCACAGGACAATGACTAAATGTCTGGGGTAATGACACCATTACAATGTAAATACAAACAACACCTCTGATACATTTGTAGTCAAGTTTCTCGGTTCTCTTTCGATTACTATTCATGTTTTGCCTCAAACTTAGACAACAGAATGATGTTACATAACGGAAAAGGTCTGTTGGTTAACGAAGCTCCCTAGTGAGAAATCCAGATGGTTTGCTCTCCTAACTTGCCACTGAAAGGTTAAAAAATGCCGGGAATAGTTTATTTTTTTCTACGTAAGCTTATGGGAAGGAGAAGGTAAAACTAAGTTATAGTTTACCTTTTCTGCTTTGTTCTCCTGGTACGTCTTGTTCCAGGTTACTCCATCCACTGAAACTCGTACGTAATACGTTTTGGTATACTCGCCAGTGTTTAACGTTTGCGTGGCCACTTGACAAACAGTATGCTCTGCACCTATATCAACTTGAAGATAGTCTGTCCTATCACTAGTGGTCTTTGGACACCATCGGGTTCCCCTTGTTGTATTCACTCTTCCGTAGTACGGTTGATAACCCGAACTGTAAACTGTGCTTGCCGTCATTCTAGAATCTGGTATCTTCTTTGGGTCCGTTACCCCTACAGCGATACATGCTACAAAAATGGGCAATGCATATAATGTATTATTCAGACAGTCCCAACTCATGCACGTAGTCTTTTGTGGAATTCAGCAAAAACACAGTTAAAACAAATCAATAAGAAACTTGGCGACTGATCATTTGTCCACGGTAGCTGTGTTTTAAGTCTGATACGTTGAATTGTTATTTTTAGAAAACCCACTGCGACAGGGTATAAAATTGCGTCTAATACACGGACGCCAAAGTAGAAGTACATTTTGGCAATTCTCTACCAAATCCTACAAAAATGTTGCCAAGCTGACATTAAGATTCCATACAACGTACTTAAAGACTTTGTCAATCTTCAAATTTTGTTATGAAACATGTAAAGGAAAATCTTGCATCCAAACATTCCTGCTGTGTGAGAAAATCACAACACTTCCACCAAGAATAAATCTCAGTAGATTCAAGTACACGCTTTGAACGGTCCTTTCGTTTTTGCGCTACTTTGAGAGAGCATCAGGATATTTGGAATTTGCAGATTAAATCTGCTATCATCATTTCCATTTCTTTTCTAGTCTTTTAAACTAATACCTTGCAACTAACTCTTTGTAGTTGCAATCTACCCTATTTTAAGATGTTTAGGAACCAAGTGGTTTCTTTAAAACATATTAACTAAATTAAATTTTGCACCCATTTATCAGATTATGTAACCCTGATTACGACTTGTAATGCTGTTTAAAAAAGACCATCTAACGTCTTCTCCGAAAATAAAAGGAACTCATCACTCACGCATGAGAGTTTGAAAAAAAAAAAAAAACTAATTTAGAGTGATGTCTGTAGAGATTAATTGCTGGAGGTTTTAGGAATCTGTTTCATACACGTCATACATGTACATTGACAAACGTTTCAAAATAAACTGAACACCTGCAACCGACTCTTCTTCGCATCTTTGTCCCTTCCAGCCACTACTACATTTACAAGTGTACCGTTGTCCACTTTCCTCTTCATGGCAGGTTCCTCCATTGAGACATGGGTTGCTATCACACGCTTTAAAAAGAAAGGCATAGTATTGAACAGTATTGAGCGAGATATCGGTAGAAAAAATAATAATAACAAAAAAAAAAGATAAGACACTTTTTAGGTAACCTTAAAAAATAATAATATTAATAAAATATCATGATTATAACCTATTTTGTCGCCCCATGTAAGGGAATCCAGGACAGTCTTGGATTCTGGATTCCATGCTGTGGATTCCGGATTACGGGTACTGGATTCCGGATTCCAGCACAGTGGATTCCGGATTCCAAAAAGAGATGGATTCCATTTTTTTACCGGTTTTAACGCTTTTTTTCGCACTTCCTTTTTGTGTTCGAATCTTGCTATATTGAAAGACCATACAGATCATCCTTCGTTCCGGGTATGAAAAAGCAGTGAAATATTTATTATTTAATCAATTTTAACCGACGTTCCTAGTAGTTTGAAACTTTTTTTGGTTTGTTTTGGGTCGTTGTGGATCTTTTGTCTATTAGTTTTGATCGTTGTGGAACGTTTAGGTCCTTTTGGCTCATTTTGCCTGGTTTCTCGTTTTATTAGTAACTGGTCAAATAAAAATGCGCTGTGGCGTGTGCAATTCATTCTTTGCAAAGTCTTTGGTTCTGTTCACTAAAGAGTAGTTTTGCGTCTCAATAAAACTTGGAAAACCATTTTTATCTTATCTTTTAAGACTTTTTAAAACTCTGTCCCCGTGTCAATAAAGATTTTTGAAGAGGGTAAAAAATTCTCGCGTAGAAGTTGACGCGTACTGCTTTGAGGTTTTAGCGCGGGCAATGATAATGAAATTCAAACTAATGTTGCGTTGAATTTGATGTTAAAAAGAACCAAAACAACAAAAGTTTAGTTGGTTCATACTTAAGATGTGCGTATAACCACGTTTTGTTAGAAAAAAACTTCACGGCTCTATCAAATTCGTTGTTTAAAACGTCGAAAATTGAGGATTTATTTCGAACATGCGCTCTTTCATCGCCTGTCACATTCCTGACAGGCAATAATCGGATTTGACCAGATCTCGCCTTCGGCTTCGTCAATAAGAGATCTGGGTCTCTGAAATGATCTAGGGTCTCTAGGATCCATTTCAAACAAAAAAAAGTTACGGGCTAAACCGATCTCAGATCGGTCTAATTTCCAAGAGCGACCTCAATGTGAACGAGGCCTATTCAAGAGCACAACTGTAGAAAGAAAACATGAAAAATCCGTCTGTTCCCCGACCGAATCTGAGATGACTGAGAGATCAAGAGAGACTTGAACGTTTCTGACACGTTGGCTCATTTTAAGCGTTTTACAACCATATAGAGCTCATTTATATGATATTTTCTCCACGGACGACGTACAGCTGGACGTAAACTTCATATCACATTCAATTATGATTGAGAAAAAAAATAAATCTTTCGTTCATGTTTATGACTTGCTTACCGCCACGTTACAGTCCACAGATAGACACAAACGAAAAATCACGCAGCTTTGCCTTTGGTACGTTTAGATCTATCAGTCAGCTAAAAATTGGTATAAAATTTCACAACACAGTGTTACAGGTACCTTTCTCTCTCAGCCTTTTGTTTTTGCTTAAATGGGCTTTCCCATAACGCATTAAAAAAAATAATAAAAAATAAAGGAGAAAAGAAAAATCCAACAGACAACAAACTTAAAACTCGTCTCATCCATGTGGTGGCGAGATTTCACTCGAATGCCGGGGATGAATGAAAAAGACACCCACCACGTCCTTGCAAGTGATTACTTTACTGACCTCTGATTGGTACAGTTCTGACAGTACCTAGCTTATTTCTAAAATAAAGATTATCGAAACCATGAAACTGTTCTCACCGAAACTACTAGGACCAAATTAGGGACTGGGAGACTGTGAATTTCTTTTTTTCTTTTTTGGTAAAATGTTGAAAGTGGACGTTTATTTCCAATTGTGAACCAGGAGGACCAGGAAGGTTCAGGAAAAGGTTCACCCTAGGTACACCTTTTCCGGTCCTATGCCAGGTCAAATTGCTTTTGATTTTTTAAGTTCAGCGAAGCGAGTGAAAAACAGAGAATCAAACATAGCCAGAGGTTGACGCTATTCACAACAATCCAATTTATACTGCGCTGTATTCCCTCGAAAACCCCCGAATTTTGTGATCCTGCCAGCCGCTCATAAGCAAGAGTTCCCTCGGCGACCGGTACCTTGACCTTTCATATGGAACTCGTGAACAATGGTTTTTTCACCAGATATGCCGATATTACACTGTATGTCGTCACGTTGAGGCATATACCCTGAGGAGGAGGCTTTCCATAGATGGTTTTTCTTTCGAGCGAGAAGCTCAATCCAATCTGGAGTGGATCTTTCGTGTATCTTTCTGGATTCCAATCTTTAGTAGGATTCCGGATTCTTAGTGCTGGATTCCGCATTCCACGAGCAAAAAATTCCTGGATTCCGGAATCCGGATTCCCTTACATGTGGCGAATTTTGAAATAAAATGTAAATTTGATCAACGGAACATAACCAAAAGAGGCAGAAAATGGGCGTAGGACGACATTTGAAGACTAATTATAATTCTTCAAAACTTGCGGTATTTTTCCAAAAGATAAAAGGCAAAGCACAGGAGCTCAGTGAATATGTTACAAAGATATACCAAGAATAGAAAAGGCTAATTCATGATCAGGGAGATGAGAACCTGGCTTTTTTTATTAAGATTCTAAATGATTTAAGAACACAAATGTGATAATTACCTCACAATAATTTAACCTAAATTCTTCTTAATGCCACATTCTTTATGCATTCTTTACCCACAATTTAATTAATTATGATAATGGTATTAATTTACGTAAATTTTATATTGTACTTGAGTCAAAAGTTTAAATCACTTTTGAGCGTTAATTCAAAAAGTAAATATTGGAAGTAAAAGTTTTTATACACAACGAAAGAAACATACGTGTGAGGACATATATTTCAACTGTTAAACAAGGCCAACCATAGTATGTAATAGGAAAAAATCTGACAAATCTCGCTTTCACCACTGGACTGATTTTCTGTCGCAAGACACTTTTGAAAACGGTACTTGCTTGGAAAACCTGCAAGTGAAAAAAAAGTCATTCATGGTGTAGCCACAGGACAATGACTAAATGTCTGGGGTAATGACACCATTACAATGTAAATACAAACAACACCTCTGATACATTTGTAGTCAAGTTTCTTGGTTCTCTTTCGATTACTATTCATGTCAAACTTAGACAACAGAATGATGTTACATAACGGGAAAGGTCTCTTGGTTAACGAAGCTCCCTAGTAAGAAATCCAGATGGTTTGCTCTCCTAACTTGCCTCTGAAAGCTTAAAAAAAGGCCGGGAATAGTTTATTTTTTTCTACGTAAGCTTATGGGAAGGAGAAGGTAAAACTAAGTTATAGTTTACCTTTTCTGCTTTGTTCTCCTGGTACGTCTTGTTCCAGGTTACTCCATCCACTGAAACTCGTACGTAATACGTTTTGGTATACTCGCCAGTGTTTAACGTTTGCGTGGCCACTTCACAAACAGTATGCACTGCACCCATATCAACTTGAAGGTAGTCTGTCCTATCACTAGTGGTCTTTGGACACCATCGGGTTCCCCTTGTTGTATTCACTCTTCCGTAGTACGGTTGATAACCCGAACTGTAAACTGTGCTTGCCGTCATTCTGGAATCTGGTATCTTCTTTGGGTCCGTTACCCCTACAGCGATACATGCTACAAAAATGGGCAATGCATATATATGCATTAATCAGACAGTCCCAACTCATGCACGTAATCTTTTGTGGAATTCAGCAAAAACACAGTTAAAACAAATCAATAAGAAACTTGGCGACTGATCATTTGTCCACGGTAGCTGTGTTTTAAGTCTGATACGTTGAATTGTTATATTTAGGAAACCCACTGCGACAGGGTATAAAATTGCGTCTAATACACGGACGCCAAAGTGGAACTACATTTTGGCAATTCTCTACCAAATCCTACAAAAATGTTGCCAAGCTGACATTAAGATTCCATACAACGTACTTAAAAACATTATCAATCTTCAAATTTTGTTATGAAACATCTAGAGGAAAATCTTGCATTCAAACATTCCTGCTGTGTGTGAAAATCACAACACTTCCACCAAGAACAAATCTCAGTAGATTCAAGTACACGCTTTGAACGTTCCTTTCGTTTTTGCGCTGCTTTGAGAGAGCATCAGGATATTTGTAATTTGCATATTTATCTGCTATCATCATTTCCATTTCTTTTCTAGTCTATTAAAAGAAGACCTTGCAACTAACTCTTTGTAATTGCCCTCTACCCTATTTTAAGATATTTAGGAACCAAGTGGTTTCTTTAAAACATATTAACTAAATTAAATTTTGTGCCCATTTATCAGATTACGTAGCCCTGGTTAGGACTTGTTAGGCGGTTTTAAAAAAAAACATCTAACGTCTCCTCCGAAAATAAAAGGAACTCATCACTCACGCATGATAGTTTGAAAAAAAAAAACTAATTTAGAGTGATGTCTGTAGAGATTAATTGCTGGAGGTTTTAGAAATCTGTTTCTTACAAGTCATACATGTACATTCACAAACGTTTCAAAATAAACTAAACACCTGCAACCGACTCTTCTTCGCATCTTTGTCCCTTCCAGCCACTACTACATTCACAAGTGTACCCTTGTCCACTTTCCTCTTCAAGGCAGGTTCCTCCATTGAGACATGGGTTGCTATCACACGCTTTAAAAAGAAAGTCATAGTATTGAACAGTATTGAGCGAGATATCGGTGAAAAAAAAAATTAATAACAAAAAAAATAGGACAATTATTAGGTAACCCTAAAAAAATAATAATATTAATAAAATATCATGTTTATAACTTATTTTGCTTACGTTTTAAAATAAAATGTAAAAGCGATCAACAGAATATAACCAAAAGAGGCAGAAAATGGGCGTAGGGCGGCATTTGAAAACTAAATATAATTCTTGACAATGCTTGTGGTATTTTTCCAACCGATAGTATATAGATTTAGCCAGGGCTAAAAGCGAAGCTCTCGTTTATAAATTCATAATTTAAATCAAACAATAAACTTGCAATCCACAGATCAGGGCACATTCATTTGACTTTTGACGCAAAGGCTAAGTGATTTTAGAGAAAAATAATTTGACAGTCCAAGAGTGAAACAAATTTTACATCGAGTTATTAAATAGTCTTATTTGTACACCCAAGATAGCAATCATGTTCGATCACAGTAGATTAGGCCTGGAAAACAAATAGACCTATTTATGTATTGTATTTGCATTAGCTGTTGCATCATAATCTCGCATTCACCAGTCTCTCCAACATTGCTCCGTTAGAGAGGCTATGGATAATTGGACAACCCCGAAATATAATTTTAAGAAACACACGCGCCACGATAGTCCTTGGTGGCAGCCAATTTACACGTTGCATTCCTCTGTAAAAAGAGAGGCCAAAATAAAAAATTAGGCCGCATTTTTTGTGTTCGACAAGTTTAGTTTACTAGTAAATCTTGGCGACGAATCTGGTGGCGTGTAAACCAGCCTTATAAACATACTTTTTCTCATCACGTCTCAGGTAAACAGTACTCCGAGGCCCTTTTTTATCATACAGACCTCGGACATAATTTTTTCTTTTTTGCCCTATTTAAACCCATAATTCGGCAGTTTTTCACAATTTTGCAAGAGAATTTGCACTCATTCAATATCCACGACGATCAAAGCACGCGCTTCCTTTGCACAACAAATTATAGCATTGAATTATAAAACGTTGTCATGAAGAGAATAGGCCACTTGCACTAAGAGGTCACGTGACCAATGCTTCCTTTAAACAATGAGTTGGAATCTTGCTGATGCCAAAAATTGTTAGAGCACACAAAAATTATCTTAAACCCGAAATTTGAGAGGAAACGCATTTAAGGGAGATGTTTTATGGCACTTTGATTTTTCAGCAAAGCAGTATGATTTGTATTGGCCGCCATGTTGGAGGGCATGCTTATGCCCTCCAACATGGCGGACAAAACTACTTCTTGCTCATATCTTGTTCAACGTTTCATATTTACGCTCAGATGTGCTGTAGACGCTATCACATCATCTTTTTAACATTTTCCTTGAAGTTTAAGTGCAAAATTTGTGTTCAGAAAGAGGTAATTCATAATTTTAAAAATCACATGTTGGTCACGTGACCATTTACGAACTTATTCATTTTAAGAAAATGGTTCGGGTTTGAAAAACCAAATCATCATTATTTTGTTTAAGATATGACCCACTAATCGTTTTTCGAAGGCAAAATCATATAACTTTCATTTTCATAAAAACGATGTCATATGCCTCTTAGTGCAAATGGCCTATTCTCAGATAATGCCGGGACTTTTCAGTTAGAAAAATCTGGTCCTATGTGATATGCAGGGTAATAATTACGGGCTTTAAATGAAAACGATAAAAAAAAATTCCCCAAATCACTTTTCGGCCAGCCGGACGGGTTTCTCACTTTTGACAGGCACCAAATTTGCAGTGCGACTAATACAGTTACCATTTACGCTTCAACGTGATAGAGAAATTGTTATGTTTAGGTTTTATTTCCCTTTATTTAGTAAACTGTGCATGGTTTTGTTATTTGTAATCTTTAAAAGCGAGTGATATTTACGGGCGGCGTTTTGAGTATTCCTGCATGCGATGTTTATGTTCGACTGGAAACAACCGGTGCAGCGATAAAAATTGCGAGAGAGACTACTAACAATCAATAACATAAACATAATTCGGTGAAACATGTACAGAGACAATAATTTTCATTCACGAAGAGAAGTATTGAGAGTAAAGTGTCTCTGAAAATCATGAGTCAGGTACGCATAAGCTTATTTATTTTTTAAACCGGCTCCCGGTGTTTGCTCTTTTTCAAGATGAACTCCAGGCAAGAAAATCGCTCAGAGCTTTCTGTTTACGGCCAAAATCATAACTAAATAATCTCCGGAATCTTTTCTTTGAATTTGCGGTCAAAAAATGTCTAAAGCCTTTTTAAACCTGATACTATTGTAGGTTAGATCATTGCTCGTGTATAAACTCAAGCCGCATAAAACATACGCTCGACTTCAGGAAACGAAAAAAAAAAAAAAAAAAAAACACTTCAAAGACAATAATTGCTCAGGCTTACCAGTCGAGATGCTGATTCTGAAGGTCATCAAGTGTTCCAGAATCGCTTGAGACTTTTCAACCCTCTTACGCCTCAAGCAAGGGCAAGTGAGTAAGCTCATTTTTGAAAACGATGCCATCCGAAATCGGATTTCCAATGACTTTGACAAGCGGTGCATTTGTCAACAAAAAGCGCAATAAACAAACCAGCCATGAATTACAGAACAATCTTGATAGCAGCTGTATTTCATTTTGTACACCAAGTAGAAAAAGACAGTTTAAAACTTCACAAGATGACACAAAACTCTGTCAGCTCCAGCTATCAGTAAGCAAGTTTCCAGACGCTGCATAAATTTTCCGCATGAACTCACCTGTCAAATTTTGACCAATCAGAACATAAACATTGGACGTAGAGCGTGATCAACGCGTGACAGTGAGAAAAGTCAAAAGCGATTGCCTTCCCTGCATGTAAATGTAAAAGCCGGTTGGATTTTCGCGTCCGAGGTCAGTTCGAAAGTGGGGCTCATGAACACGACTTCTTTCATATGCATTTTAAAAAAATTGAACTTAAGCCTGCGATAATTGAAAAGTAGCAACTTGTCAGCGGATACCTTCAAAAAAACACTCCAACTCAGTGGGTCGATACCTGAGCCCACGGGGCAGGCGATTCTGGTCAGCAAAAACACTATTTTCACAGCTGTCAATCAATCAAAACAAGGATGTACAATATCAGGTTGCAGGTTCCCAAACTAGCTAGAAAGTGTGAGATTAAAAATTGGTACGCCTGTGGTGCGGACGGACGGAAGGTCGGTTGGTCGGTGTACGGTCACGTGAATGCCGAATTTTCTAAGATGGATAGATTTTCTAAGCTATGGGGCTTCGAATTGAGCCCGTCATCAAATAAAATATCAGCGCAAAACTTTAAACACTACGTGACCTCAATGGATAGACAAATGAGCCCGAGATACACTCTGGTGATGATGATCAGCGTATACTCTAGTTTGACAGCTGTCAATCAACCTTCATTAGAATGGCGAATATGCGAATTATCAGACTACGAGCGTGAGTAAGACATATCCGTCCGGCATGTAGTGGAAAATGCCAGATCGTGTACCTGAGCGAGCCTGAGCCCACGTTATTAGTTTTCTGATAGTGGTCTGCACATGTCCCATTTTAACAGCTGTCAATAGACCTTAACTTTAAACGACTGTCAGCCAACTGATACCCTTGCCCGGCGTAGTTTCGTTTATATGTTGAATTGGAAAGTGTGACATATTATATTAGCTTATAAGTAGGGGAAGAACGACTGGTCCTTCATCCGAGCCCGCGAGATGGTCATGTGATAATTGTCAGCGGATGTCTGATTTTAAAAGCTGTCAATCTAATCGTACTCATACGGATAGCTTACATAACTAAGAGGCTAGTCAAGTTGTGAAAGATCTATTGTGACATTTCACATCTACTTACATGAAGAGTGTGTACGGGTGCGCGGGTACGCTACGAGGACTTGTAAGGCGGTTTAAAAAAAAAAAACATTTAACGTCTTCTCCGAAAATAAAAGCAACTCATCACTCACGCATGATAGTTTGAAAAAAAGACTAATTTAGAGTGATGCATGTGGAGATTAATTGCTGGAGGTTTTAGGAATCTGTTTCTTACACGTCATACATGTACATTCACAAACGTTTCAAAATAAAGTGAACACCTGCGACCGACTCTTCTTCGCATCTTTGTCCCTTCCAGCCACTACTACATTCACAAGTGTACCCTTGTCCACTTTCCTCTTCATGGCAGGTTCCTCCATTGAGACATGGGTTGCTATCACAAGCTTTAAAAAGAAAGGCATAGTATTGAACAGTATTGAGCGAGATATCGGTACAAAAAATAATAACAAAAAAATGAGAAAATTATTAGGTAACCCTAAAAGACAAAACTCCCGGACAAAACTCTGTCAGCTCCAGCTATCAGTAAGCAAGTTTCCAGACGCTGCATAAATTTTCCGCGTGAACTCACCTGTCAAATTTTGACCAATCAGAACATAAGAATTGGACGTAGAGCGTGATCAACGCGTGACAGTGAGAAAAGTCAAAAGCGATTGCCTTCCCTGCATGTAATGTAAAAGCCGGTTGAGTTTTCGCGTCCGAAGTCACTTCGAAATCAACATTTTAAAAGTGCTGCTCATGAACACGACTTATTTCATATGCATTTTAAAAAAATTGAACTTGAGCCTGCGATCTTTTTGAAAAGTATCAACTTGTCAGCGGATACCTTCAAAAAAAAACACTCGAACTCAGTGGGTCGATACCTGAGCCTGCGATACGGTCAGGCGATACTGGTCAGCAGAAACACTATTCTGACAGCTGTCAATTAATCAAAACATGGATGTACAATATTAGGTTGCAGGCTCCCAAACTAGCTAGAAAGTGTGAGATTAAACATTGGTATGCATGTGATGCGCACGGACGGAAAGTCGGGTGGTCATTGTACGGTCACGTGATTGCCGAATTCTCTAAGATGGATAGATTTTCTAAGCTATGGGGCTTCGAATTGAGCCCGTGATCAAATAAAATATCAGCGCAAAACTTTAAACAGTACCTGACCTTAATGGATAGAAAAATGAGCCCGCAATACACTCAGGTGATGATGGTCAGCGTATACTCTAGTTTGACAGCTGTCAATTAAACTTCATTAGAATGGCGAATATTCGAATTAACAGACTACGAGTGTGAGTAAGACATATCCGTCCGGCATGTAGTGGAAAATGCCAGATCGTGTACCTGGGCGAACCTGAGCCCACGTCATTAGTTTTCTGATAGTGGTCTGCACATGTCCCATTTTGACAGCTGTTAATTGACCTTAATTTGGCTTGCCAATATAACTTTAAACTACTGTCATCCAACTGACAGCCTTGCCCGGCGTAGTTTCGTTTTTATGTTGAATTGGTAAGTGTGACATATTATATCAGCTTACATGTAGGGGCAAAACGACTGGCCTTTCATCTGATCCCGCGAGATGGTCATGTGATAATTGTCAGCGGATGTCTCATTTTGACAGCTGTCAATCTAATCGTCCTCATATGGATGGCTTACATAACTAAGAGGCTAGTCAAGTTGTGCAAGATCTATTGTGACATTTGACATCGGCTTACATGAACTGTGTGTACGGGTGGGCGTACGCTACGTCATAACCAAATTTTCTGGGAAAGATAGTTTACCAAATTTTCTTGCCCACGGTGCTCCCCTGCGCGCGCGCGAAGCGCGCGCCAGAGCTCCGCTAAAAGGCAAAGCACAGCAGCTCCGTCAATGTGTTACAAAGATGTACCAAGGTTAGAAAAGACTAATTCATGATCAGGGAGATGAGAACCTGGCTTTTTGTTTTGTTAAAAGTCCTAAAGATTCTTTATGATTTAAGAGCACAAATGTGATAATTACCTCACAACAACTTAACCTAAATCCTTCATTGTAAAATCAAATCATTGTATTAATTTACGTAAGTTTTATATTGTTCTTGAGTTAAAAGTTTAAATCACTTTTGAGCGTTAATTCAAAAAGTAAATATCGGAAGTAAAAGTTTTTATTTACAACGAAAGAAACATACGTGTGAGGACATATATTTCAACTGTTAAACAAGGCCAACCATGATATGTAATAGGAAAAAATCTGACAAATCTCGCTTTCACCACTGGACTGATTTTCTGTCGCAAGACACTGTTCAAAACGATACTTGCTTGGAAAACCTGCAAGTGAAAAAAAAAGTCATTCATAGTGTAGCTACAAAAAGACTTTCGAAACCTACTCAGTCTTTTGCCAAAAGTTTATTATTTACCAATTTAAGTTGACTCAAGGTCGCGGAAAAAACAAAGCGTGAAATAAAACTTTATTACCAATTCAAGTTGACTCGAGGTCGCGGAAAAAAAACGAAGCGGGAAATGAAACTTTAAGGCTCAACACAGGATAATGCATGAGAAGAAGATATGGAATAAACCAGGACGAAAATGCGAAATCTGCATTAAGAATGTTTTATTACAGACCTTATCTGCGCACTTCTAACGCCATAGGAACGACTTTCTATGCATTCAAACTACAAAATGTAAACTACTAGCGCAAGTCACTTTATAAGTGGCTATTCGCTCAATTGCAATATTATTATTATTATATGAAAAGGACAAATTAGGAAAATTAAAGTAACGCGCTTTATACTCTTTACTTTGAAATAGTATACATTAGAAGTTTCCTGGGTTAACGTCGGATTTTTTTAAATAAATAACTTAACTTGTATGGGCAATTTTCTGTGAATTAGATGACACTTGTGGCATACCACAAACAATGACTAAATGCCTAGGGTAATAACACCATTACAATCTAAATACAAACAACACCTCTGATACCATAGTAGTCAAGTTTAATCTTGGTTCTCTTTCGATTACCATTCATGTTTTGCCTCAAACTTAGACAACAGAATGATGTTACATAACGGGAAATATCTCTTGGTTAACGAAGCTCCCTAGTAAGAAATCCAGATGGTTTGCTCTCCTAACTTGCCTCTGCAAGGTTAAAAAAGGCCGGGAATAGTTTATTTTTTTCTACGTAAGCTTATGGGAAGGAGAAGGTAAAACTAAGTTATAGTTTACCTTTTCTGCTTTGTTCTCCCGGTACGTCTTGTTCCAGGTTACTCCATCCACTGAAACTCGTACGTAATACGTTTTGGTATACTCGCCAGTGTTTAACGTTTGCGTGGCCACTTCACAAACAGTATGAACTGCACCCATATCAACTTGAAGATAGTCTGTCCTATCACTAGTGGTCTTTGGACACCATCGGGTTCCCCTTGTTGTATTCACTCTTCCGTAGTACGGTTGATAACCCGAACTGTAAACTGTGCTTGCCGTCATTCTGGAATCTGGTATCTTCTTTGGGTCCGTTACCCCTACAGCGATACATGCTACAAAAATGGGCAATGCATGTATATGTATTAATCAGACAGTCCCAACTCATGCACCTAGTCTTTTGTGGAATTCAGCAAAAACACAGTTAATACAAATCAATAAGAAACTTGGCGACTGATCATTTGTCCACGGTAGCTGTGTTTTAAGTCTGATACGTTGAATTGTTATTTTTAAAAAACCCACTGCGACAGGGTATAAAATTGCGTCTAATACACGGACGCCAAAGTAGAAGTACATTTTGGCAATTCTCTACCAAATCCTACAAAAATGTTGCCAAGCTGACATTAAGATTCCATACAACGTACAAGTAAAGGAAAATCTTGCATCCAAACATTCCTGCTGTGTGAGAAAATCACAACACTTCCACCAATAATAAATCTCAGTAGATTCAAGTACACGCTTTGAACGTTCCTTTCGTTTTTGCGCTACTTTGAGAGAGCATCAGGATATTTGGGATTTGCGGATTAAATCTGCTATCATCATTTCCATTTCTTTTCTAGTCTTTTAAAATAATACCTTGCAACAAACCTTTTGTCATTGCCCTCTACCCTATTTTAAGATATTTAGGAACCAAGTGGTTTCTTTAAAACATAATTTAACTAAATTAAATTTTGTGCCCATTTATCAGATATGTAACCCTGATTACGACTTGTAATGCGGTTTAAAAAAGACCATCTAACGTCTTCTCCGAAAATAAAAGGAACTCATCACTCACGCATGAGAGTTTGAAAAAAAAAAACTATTTTGTAGTGATGTCTGTGGAGATTAATTGCTGGACGTTTTAGGAATCTGTTTCATACACGTCATACATGTACATTGACAAACGTTTCAAAATAAACTAAACACCTGCAACCGACTCTTCTTCGCATCTTTGACCCTTCCAGCCACTACTACATTCACAAGTGTACCGTTGTCCACTTTCCTCTTCATGGCAGGTTCCACCATTGAGACATGGGTTGCTATCACACGCTTTAAAAAGAAAGGCATAGTATTGAACAGTATTGAGCGAGATATCGGTACAAAAAATAATAACAAAAAAAATAAGACAATTATAAGGTAACCCTAAAAAATAATGATATTAATAAAATATCATGTTTATATCTTATTTTACTTACATTTTGAAATAAAATGTAAATTCGATCAACGGAATATAACCAAAAGAGGCAGAAAATGGGCGTAGGGCGACATTTGAAGACTATAATTCTTTAATACTTGCGGTATTATTCCAAACGATAAAAGGCAAAGCACAGCAGCTCAGTGAATGTGTTACAAAGATATACCAAGATTAGAAAAGGCTAATTCATGATCAGGGAGATGAGAACCTGGCTTTTTTATTAAGATTCTATATGATTTAAGAACACAAATGTGATAATTACCTCACAACAATTTAACCTAAATTCTTGTTAATACCACATTCTTCATGCATTCTTTACGCACAATTTCATTAATTATGATCATGGTATTAATTTACGTAAATTTTATATTGTACTTGAGTCAAAAGGTTAAATCACTTTTGAGCGTTAATTCAAAAAGTAAATATTGGAAGTAAAAGTTTTTATTTACAACGAAAGAAACATACGTGTGAGGACATATATTTCAACTGTTAAACAAGGCCAACCATAGTATGTAATAGGAAAAAATCTGACAAATCTCGCTTTCACCACTGGACTGATTTTCTGTCGCAAGACGCTTTTGAAAACGGTACTTGCTTGGAAAACCTGCAAGTGGAAAAAAAGTCATTCATGGTGTAGCCACAGGAAAATGACTAAATGTCTGGGGTAATGACACCATTACAATGTAAATACAAACAACACCTCTGATACCATGGTAGTCAAGTTTCTCGGTTCTCTTTCGATTACTATTCATGTTTTGCCTCAAACTTAGACAACCGAATGATGTTACATAACGGGAAAGGTCTGTTGGTTAACGAAGCTCCCTGGTAAGAAATCCAGATGGTTTGCTCTCCTAACTTGCCTCTGAAAGGGCAAAAAATGCCGGAAAAGATTAATTTTTTTTCTACGTAAGCTTATGGGAAGGAGAAGGTAAAACTAAGTTATAGTTTACCTTTTCTGCTTTGTTCTCCTGGTACGTCTTGTTCCAGGTTACTCCATCCACTGAAACTCGTACGTAATACGTTTTGGTATACTCGCCAGTGTTTAACGTTTGCGTGGCCACTTCACAAACAGTATGCACTGCACCCATATCAACTTGAAGATAGTCTGTCCTATCACTAGTGGTCTTTGGACACCATCGGGTTCCCCTTGTTGTATTCACTCTTCCGTAGTACGGTTGATAACCCGAACTGTAAACTGTGCTTGCCGTCATTCTGGAATCTGGTATCTTCTTTGGGTCCGTTACCCCTACAGCGATACATGCTACAAAAATGGGCAATGCATATATATGTATTAATCAGACAGTCCCAACTCATGCACGTAGTCTTTTGTGGAATTCAGCAAAAAACACATTTAAAGCACATCAATAAGAAACTTGGCGACTGATCATTTGTCCACGGTAGCTGTGTTTTAAGTCTGATACGTTGAATTGTTATTTTTAGGAAACCCACTGCGACAGGGAATAAAATTGCGTCTAATACACGGACGCCAAAGTGGAACTACATTTTGGCAATTCTCTACCAAATCCTACAAAAATGTTGCCAAGCTGACATTAAGATTCCATACAACGTACAAGTAAAGGAAAATCTTGCATCCAAACATTCCTGCTGTGCGAGAAAATCACAACACTTCCACCAATAATAAATCTCAGTAGATTCAAGTACACGCTTTGAACGTTCCTTTCGTTTTTGCGCTACTTTGAGAGAGCATCAGGATATTTGGGATTTGCGGATTAAATCTGCTATCATCATTTCCATTTCTTTTCTAGTCTTTTAAAATAATACCTTGCAACAAACCTTTTGTCATTGCCCTCTACCCTATTTTAAGATATTTAGGAACCAAGTGGTTTCTTTAAAACATAATTTAACTAAATTAAATTTTGTGCCCATTTATCAGATATGTAACCCTGATTACGACTTGTAATGCGGTTTAAAAAAGACCATCTAACGTCTTCTCCGAAAATAAAAGGAACTCATCACTCACGCATGAGAGTTTGAAAAAAAAAAACTATTTTGTAGTGATGTCTGTGGAGATTAATTGCTGGACGTTTTAGGAATCTGTTTCATACACGTCATACATGTACATTGACAAACGTTTCAAAATAAACTAAACACCTGTAACCGACTCTTCTTCGCATCTTTCACCCTTCCAGCCACTACTACATTCACAAGTGTACCGTTGTTCACTTTCCTCTTCATGGCAGGTTCCTCCATTGAGACATGGGTTGCTATCACACGCTTTAAAAAGAAAGGCATAGTATTGAACAGTATTGAGCGAGATATCGGTACAAAAAATAATAACAAAAAAAATAAGACAATTATTAGGTAACCCTAAAAAATAATGATATTAATAAAATATCATGTTTATAACTTATTTTACTTACATTTTGAAATAAAATGTAAATTCAATCAACGGAATATAACCAAAAGAGGCAGAAAATGGGCGTAGGGCGACATTTGAAGACTATAATTCTTTAATACTTGCGGTATTATTCCAAACGATAAAAGGCAAGGCACAGCAGCTCAATGAATGTGTTACAAAGATATACCAAGATTAGAAAAGGTTAATTCATGATCAGGGAGATGAGAACCTGGCTTTTTTATTAAGATTCTATATGATTTAAGAACACAAATGTGATAATTACCTCACAACAATTTCACCTAAATTCTTGTTAATACCACATTCTTCATGCATTCTTTACGCACAATTTCATTACTTATGATCATGGTATTAATTTACGTAAATTTTATATTGTACTTGAGTCAAAAGGTTAAATCACTTTTGAGCGTTAATTCAAAAAGTAAATATTGGAAGTAAAAGTTTTTATTTACAACGAAAGAAACATACGTGTGAGGACATATATTTCAACTGTTAAACAAGGCCAACCATAGTATGTAATAGGAAAAAATCTGACAAATCTCGCTTTCACCACTGGACTGATTTTCTGTCGCAAGACACTTTTGAAAACGGTACTTGCTTGGAAAACCTGCAAGTGGAAAAAAAGTCATTCATGGTGTAGCCACAGGACAATGACTAAATGTCTGGGGTAATGACACCATTACAATGTAAATACAAACAACACCTCTGATACATTTGTAGTCAAGTTTCTCGGTTCTCTTTCGATTACTATTCATGTTTTGCCTCAAACTTAGACAACAGAATGATGTTACATAACGGAAAAGGTCTGTTGGTTAACGAAGCTCCCTAGTGAGAAATCCAGATGGTTTGCTCTCCTAACTTGCCACTGAAAGGTTAAAAAATGCCGGGAATAGTTTATTTTTTTCTACGTAAGCTTATGGGAAGGAGAAGGTAAAACTAAGTTATAGTTTACCTTTTCTGCTTTGTTCTCCTGGTACGTCTTGTTCCAGGTTACTCCATCCACTGAAACTCGTACGTAATACGTTTTGGTATACTCGCCAGTGTTTAACGTTTGCGTGGCCACTTCACAAACAGTATGCTCTGCACCTATATCAACTTGAAGATAGTCTGTCCTATCACTAGTGGTCTTTGGACACCATCGGGTTCCCCTTGTTGTATTCACTCTTCCGTAGTACGGTTGATAACCCGAACTGTAAACTGTGCTTGCCGTCATTCTAGAATCTGGTATCTTCTTTGGGTCCGTTACCCCTACAGCGATACATGCTACAAAAATGGGCAATGCATATAATGTATTATTCAGACAGTCCCAACTCATGCACGTAGTCTTTTGTGGAATTCAGCAAAAACACAGTTAAAACAAATCAATAAGAAACTTGGCGACTGATCATTTGTCCACGATAGCTGTGTTTTAAGTCTGATACGTTGAATTGTTATTTTTAGAAAACCCACTGCGACAGGGTATAAAATTGCGTCTAATACACGGACGCCAAAGTAGAAGTACATTTTGGCAATTCTCTACCAAATCCTACAAAAATGTTGCCAAGCTGACATTAAGATTCCATACAACGTACTTAAAGACTTTGTCAATCTTCAAATTTTGTTATGAAACATGTAAAGGAAAATCTTGCATCCAAACATTCCTGCTGTGTGAGAAAATCACAACACTTCCACCAAGAATAAATCTCAGTAGATTCAAGTACACGCTTTGAACGGTCCTTTCGTTTTTGCGCTACTTTGAGAGAGCATCAGGATATTTGGAATTTGCAGATTAAATCTGCTATCATCATTTCCATTTCTTTTCTAGTCTTTTAAACTAATACCTTGCAACTAACTCTTTGTAGTTGCAATCTACCCTATTTTAAGATGTTTAGGAACCAAGTGGTTTCTTTAAAACATATTAACTAAATTAAATTTTGCACCCATTTATCAGATTATGTAACCCTGATTACGACTTGTAATGCTGTTTAAAAAAGACCATCTAACGTCTTCTCCGAAAATAAAAGGAACTCATCACTCACGCATGAGAGTTTGAAAAAAAAAAAAAAAACTAATTTAGAGTGATGTCTGTAGAGATTAATTGCTGGAGGTTTTAGGAATCTGTTTCATACACGTCATACATGTACATTGACAAACGTTTCAAAATAAACTGAACACCTGCAACCGACTCTTCTTCGCATCTTTGTCCCTTCCAGCCACTACTACATTTACAAGTGTACCGTTGTCCACTTTCCTCTTCATGGCAGGTTCCTCCATTGAGACATGGGTTGCTATCACACGCTTTAAAAAGAAAGGCATAGTATTGAACAGTATTGAGCGAGATATCGGTAGAAAAAATAATAATAACAAAAAAAAAAGATAAGACACTTTTTAGGTAACCTTAAAAAATAATAATATTAATAAAATATCATGATTATAACCTATTTTGTCGCCCCATGTAAGGGAATCCAGGACAGTCTTGGATTCTGGATTCCATGCTGTGGATTCCGGATTACGGGTACTGGATTCCGGATTCCAGCACAGTGGATTCCGGATTCCAAAAAGAGATGGATTCCATTTTTTTACCGGTTTTAACGCTTTTCTTCGCACTTCCTTTTTGTGTTCGAATCTTGCTATATTGAAAGACCATACAGATCATCCTTCGTTCCGGGTATGAAAAAGCAGTGAAATATTTATTATTTAATCAATTTTAACCGACGTTCCTAGTAGTTTGAAACTTTTTTTGGTTTGTTTTGGGTCGTTGTGGATCTTTTGTCTATTAGTTTTGATCGTTGTGGAACGTTTAGGTCCTTTTGGCTCATTTTGCCTGGTTTCTCGTTTTATTAGTAACTGGTCAAATAAAAATGCGCTGTGGCGTGTGCAATTCATTCTTTGCAAAGTCTTTGGTTCTGTTCACTAAAGAGTAGTTTTGCGTCTCAATAAAACTTGGAAAACCATTTTTATCTTATCTTTTAAGACTTTTTAAAACTCTGTCCCCGTGTCAATAAAGATTTTTGAAGAGGGTAAAAAATTCTCGCGTAGAAGTTGACGCGTAGTGCTTTGAGGTTTTAGCGCGGGCAATGATAATGAAATTCAAACTAATGTTGCGTTGAATTTGATGTTAAAAAGAACCAAAACAACAAAAGTTTAGTTGGTTCATACTTAAGATGTGCGTATAACCACGTTTTGTTAGAAAAAAACTTCACGGCTCTATCAAATTCGTTGTTTAAAACGTCGAAAATTGAGGATTTATTTCGAACATGCACTCTTTCATCGCCTGTCACATTCCTGACAGGCAATAATCGGATTTGACCAGATCTCGCCTTCGGCTTCGTCAATAAGAGATCTGGGTCTCTGAAATGATCTAGGGTCTCTAGGATCCATTTCAAACAAAAAAGAGTTACGGGCTAAACCGATCTCAGATCGGTCTAATTTCCAAGAGCGACCTCAATGTGAACGAGGCCTATTCAAGAGCACAACTGTAGAAAGAAAACATGAAAAATCCGTCTGTTCCCCGACCGAATCTGAGATGACTGAGAGATCAAGAGAGACTTGAACGTTTCTGACACGTTGGCTCATTTTAAGCGTTTTACAACCATATAGAGCTCATTTATATGATATTTTCTCCACGGACGACGTACAGCTGGACGTAAACTTCATATCACATTCAATTATGATTGAGAAAAAAAATAAATCTTTCGTTCATGTTTATGACTTGCTTACCGCCACGTTACAGTCCACAGATAGACACAAACGAAAAATCACGCAGCTTTGCCTTTGGTACGTTTAGATCTATCAGTCAGCTAAAAATTGGTATAAAATTTCACAACACAGTGTTACAGGTACCTTTCTCTCTCAGCCTTTTGTTTTTGCTTAAATGGGCTTTCCCATAACGCATTAAAAAAAATAATAAAAAATAAAGGAGAAAAGAAAAATCCAACAGACAACAAACTTAAAACTCGTCTCATCCATGTGGTGGCGAGATTTCACTCGAATGCCGGGGATGAATGAAAAAGACACCCACCACGTCCTTGCAAGTGATTACTTTACTGACCTCTGATTGGTACAGTTCTGACAGTACCTAGCTTATTTCTAAAATAAAGATTATCGAAACCATGAAACTGTTCTCACCGAAACTACTAGGACCAAATTAGGGACTGGGAGACTGTGAATTTCTTTTTTTCTTTTTTGGTAAAATGTTGAAAGTGGACGTTTATTTCCAATTGTGAACCAGGAGGACCAGGAAGGTTCAGGAAAAGGTTCACCCTAGGTACACCTTTTCCGGTCCTATGCCAGGTCAAATTGCTTTTGATTTTTTAAGTTCAGCGAAGCGAGTGAAAAACAGAGAATCAAACATAGCCAGAGGTTGACGCTATTCACAACAATCCAATTTATACTGCGCTGTATTCCCTCGAAAACCCCCGAATTTTGTGATCCTGCCAGCCGCTCATAAGCAAGAGTTCCCTCGGCGACCGGTACCTTGACCTTTCATATGGAACTCGTGAACAATGGTTTTTTCACCAGATATGCCGATATTACACTGTATGTCGTCACGTTGAGGCATATACCCTGAGGAGGCTTTCCATAGATGGTTTTTCTTTCGAGCGAGAAGCTCAATCCAATCTGGAGTGGATCTTTCGTGTATCTTTCTGGATTCCAATCTTTAGTAGGATTCCGGATTCTTAGTGCTGGATTCCGCATTCCACGAGCAAAAAATTCCTGGATTCCGGAATCCGGATTCCCTTACATGTGGCGAATTTTGAAATAAAATGTAAATTTGATCAACGGAACATAACCAAAAGAGGCAGAAAATGGGCGTAGGACGACATTTGAAGACTAATTATAATTCTTCAAAACTTGCGGTATTTTTCCAAAAGATAAAAGGCAAAGCACAGGAGCTCAGTGAATATGTTACAAAGATATACCAAGAATAGAAAAGGCTAATTCATGATCAGGGAGATGAGAACCTGGCTTTTTTATTAAGATTCTAAATGATTTAAGAACACAAATGTGATAATTACCTCACAATAATTTAACCTAAATTCTTCTTAATGCCACATTCTTTATGCATTCTTTACCCACAATTTAATTAATTATGATAATGGTATTAATTTACGTAAATTTTATATTGTACTTGAGTCAAAAGTTTAAATCACTTTTGAGCGTTAATTCAAAAAGTAAATATTGGAAGTAAAAGTTTTTATACACAACGAAAGAAACATACGTGTGAGGACATATATTTCAACTGTTAAACAAGGCCAACCATAGTATGTAATAGGAAAAAATCTGACAAATCTCGCTTTCACCACTGGACTGATTTTCTGTCGCAAGACACTTTTGAAAACGGTACTTGCTTGGAAAACCTGCAAAAAAAAAAAAAGTCATTCATGGTGTAGCCACAGGACAATGACTAAATGTCTGGGGTAATGACACCATTACAATGTAAATACAAACAACACCTCTGATACATTTGTAGTCAAGTTTCTTGGTTCTCTTTCGATTACTATTCATGTCAAACTTAGACAACAGAATGATGTTACATAACGGGAAAGGTCTCTTGGTTAACGAAGCTCCCTAGTAAGAAATCCAGATGGTTTGCTCTCCTAACTTGCCTCTGAAAGCTTAAAAAAAGGCCGGGAATAGTTTATTTTTTTCTACGTAAGCTTATGGGAAGGAGAAGGTAAAACTAAGTTATAGTTTACCTTTTCTGCTTTGTTCTCCTGGTACGTCTTGTTCCAGGTTACTCCATCCACTGAAACTCGTACGTAATACGTTTTGGTATACTCGCCAGTGTTTAACGTTTGCGTGGCCACTTCACAAACAGTATGCACTGCACCCATATCAACTTGAAGGTAGTCTGTCCTATCACTAGTGGTCTTTGGACACCATCGGGTTCCCCTTGTTGTATTCACTCTTCCGTAGTACGGTTGATAACCCGAACTGTAAACTGTGCTTGCCGTCATTCTGGAATCTGGTATCTTCTTTGGGTCCGTTACCCCTACAGCGATACATGCTACAAAAATGGGCAATGCATATATATGTATTAATCAGACAGTCCCAACTCATGCACGTAATCTTTTGTGGAATTCAGCAAAAACACAGTTAAAACAAATCAATAAGAAACTTGGCGACTGATCATTTGTCCACGGTAGCTGTGTTTTAAGTCTGATACGTTGAATTGTTATATTTAGGAAACCCACTGCGACAGGGTATAAAATTGCGTCTAATACACGGACGCCAAAGTAGAAGTACATTTTGGCAATTCTCTACCAAATCCTACAAAAATGTTGCCAAGCTGACATTAAGATTCCATACAACGTACTCAAAGACTTTGTCAATCTTCAAATTTTGTTATGAAACATCTAAAGGAAAATCTTCCATCCAAACATTCCTGCTGTGTGAGAAAATCACCACACTTCCACCAAGAATAAATCTCAGTAGATTCAAGTACACGCTTTGAACGTTCCTTTCGTTTCTGCGCTACTTTGAGAGAGCATCAGGATATTTGTAATTTGTATATTAAATCTGCTATTATCATTTCCATTTCTTTTCTAGTCTTTTAAAATAAGACCTTGCAACTAACTCTTTGTAATTGCCGTCTACCCTATTTTAAGATATTTAGGAACCATGTGGTTTCTTTAAAACATAATATTTAGATTTACCAGGGCTAGAAGCGAAGCTCCCGTTAATAAATTCATAATTTAAATCAAACAATAAACTTGTAATCCACAGATCAGGGCACATTCATTTGACTTTTGAGGCAAAGGCTAAGTGATTTTAGAGAAAAATAATTTGACAGTCCAAGAGTGAAACAGCTTTTAGATCGAGTTGTTAAATAGTCTTATTTGTACACCCAAAAATAGCAATCATGTTCGATCACAGTAGATTAGGCCTGGAAAACAAATAGACCTACCTATTCGTGTATTGTATTTGCATTAGCTGTTGTATTCACCAGTCTCTCCAACATGGCTCCGTTTGAGAGACTATGGATAATTGGACAACCCCGACATATAATTTTAAGAAACACACGCGCCACGATAGTCCTTGGTGGCAGCCAATTTACACGTTGCATTCCTCTGTCTAAAAGAGAGGCCAAAATAAAAAATGAGGCCGGATTTTTTGTGCTCGACAAGTTTAGTTTGCTAGTAAATCTTGGCGGCGAATCTGGTGGCGTGTAAACCAGCCTTTTAAACACACTTTTTCTCATCACGTCTCGGGTAAACAGTACTATGAGGCCCTTTTTTTTATCTTACAGACCTCGGACAGAATTTGTTCTTTTTTGCCCAATTTAAAACTTTAATTCTGCAGTTTTTCACAATTTTGCAAGAGAAATTGCACTCACTCAATATCCACGACGATCAAAGCACGCGCTTCCTTTGCACATCAAATTATAGCATTGAATTATAAAACGTTTTCATGAAGAGAATTCTATAATGCCGGGACTTTTCAGTTAGAAAAATCTGGTCCTATGTGATATGCAGGGGAATAATTATAGGCTTTTAATGAAAACGACAAAAAAATTCCCAAAATCACTTTTCGGCCAGCCGGACGGGTCTCACTTTTGACAGGCACCAAATTTGCAGTGCGATTAATAGAGTTACCATTTACGCTTCAACATGATAGATAAATTGTTATGTTTAGGTTTTATTTCCCTTTATTTATTAAACTGTGTATGGTTTTGTTATGTGTAATCTTTAAAAGCGAGTGATATTTACGCGCGCGTTTTGAGTATTCCTGCATGCGATGTTTATGTTCGACTGGAAACAACCGGTGCAGCGATAAAAATTGCGAGAGAGACTACTAACAATCAATAAAATAAATATAACTCGGTGAAACATGTACAGAGACAATAATTTTCATTTCCGAAGAGAAGTATTGAGAGTATAGTGTCTGGAAATCATGAGTCAGGTAAGCATAAGCTTATTTATGTTTTAAGCCGGCTTCCCGGTGTTGTCAAGGTGAACTCGAGGAAAGAAAATCGCTCACAGATTTCTGTTTACAGCCAAAATCATAACTAAATAATCTTCGGAACTTTTTCTTTGAATTTAAGCTCAAAAAATGTCTAAAGGCTTTTTAAACCTGATATTATTGTAGGTTAGATCATTGCTCGTGTATAAACTTAAGCCGCATAAACCATACGCTCGACTTCAGGAAACCGAAACAAAAAAAAACACATCAAAGATAATAATTGCTCAAGTTTACCAGTCGAGATGCTGCTTCTGAAGGTCATCAAGTGTTCCAAAATCGCTTGAGACTTTTCAACCCTCTTACGCCTCAAGCAAGGGCAAGTGAGTAAGCTCATTTTTGAAAACGATGCCATCCGAAATCGGATTTCCAATGACTTTGACAAGCGGTGCATTTGTCAACAAAAAGCGCAATAAAGAAACCAGCCATGAATTACAGAACAATCTTGATAGCTGCTGTATTTCATTTTGTACACCAAGTAGAAAAAGACAGTTTAAAACATCACAAGATGACAGAAAACTCTGTCAGCTCCAGCTATCAGTAAGTGGTCAAGTGGTCAAGTTTTGACCAATCAGAACATAAAAATTGGACGTAGAGTGTGATCAAGGCGTGACAGTAAGAAAAGTCAAAAGTGATTGCCTTCCCTGGATGTAAATGTAAAAGCCGGTTGAATTTTCGCGTCCGAGGTCAGTCCGAAATCAACATTTTAAAAGTGCGGCTCATGAACACGTCTTATTTCATATGCATTTTAAAAAAATTGAACTTAAGCCTGCGATAATTGAAAAGTAGCAACTTGTCAGCGGATACCTTCAAAAAAAACACTCCAACTCAGTGGGTCGATACCTTAGCCCACGGGTCAGGCGATTCTGGTCAGCAAAAACACTATTTTCACAGCTGTCAATCAATCAAAACAAGGATGTACAATATCAGGTTGCAGGTTCCCAAACTAGCTAGAAAGTGTGAGATTAAACATTGGTATGCCTGTGGTGCGGACAGACGGAAGGTCGGTTGGTCGGTGTACGGTCACGTGAATGCCGAATTTTCTAAGATGGATAGATTTTCTAAGCTATGGGGCTTCGAATTGAGCCCGTCATCAAATAAAATATCAGCGCAAAACTTTAAACACTACGTGACCTCAATGGATAGACAAATGAGCCCGAGATACACTCTGGTGATGATGATCAGCGTATACTCTAGTTTGACAGCTGTCAATCAACCTTCATTAGAATGGCGAATATGCGAATTATCAGACTACGAGCGTGAGTAAGACATATCCGTCCGGCATGTAGTGGAAAATGCCAGATCGTGTACCTGAGCGAGCCTGAGCCCACGTTATTAGTTTTCTGATAGTGGTCTGCACATGTCCCATTTTAACAGCTGTCAATAGACCTTAACTTTAAACGACTGTCAGCCAACTGACAGCCTTGCCCGGCGTAGTTTCGTTTATATGTTGAATTGGAAAGTGTGACATATTATATTAGCTTATATGTAGGGGAAGAACGACTGGTCCTTCATCCGAGCCCGCGAGATGGTCATGTGATAATTGTCAGCGGATGTCTGATTTTAAAAGCTGAAAATCTAATCGTACTCATACGGATAGCTTACATAACTAAGAGGCTAGTCAAGTTGTGCAAGATCTATTGTGACATTTCACATCTACTTACATGAAGAGTGTGTACGGGTGCGCGGGTACGCTACGTCATAACCAAATTTTCTCGGGTGGATAGTTTTTGCGCCCATTAATCAGATTATGTAACCCTGATTAGGACTTGTAAGGCGGTTTAAAAAAAAAACATGTAACGTCTTCTCCGAAAATAAAAGCAACTCATCACTCACGCATGATAGATTGAAAAAAAAAAGACTAATTTAGAGTGATGTATGTGGAGATTAATTGCTGGAGGTTTTAGGAATCTGTTTCTTACACGTCTTACATGTACAATCACAAACGTTTCAAAATAAAGTGAACACCTGCAACCGACTCTTCTTCGCATCTTTGTCCCTTCCAGCCACTACTACATTCACAAGTGTACCCTTGGCCACTTTCCTCTTCATGGCAGGTTCCTCCATTGAGACATGGGTTGCTATCACAAGCTTTAAAAAGAAAGCCATAGTATTGAACAGTATTGAGCGAGATATCGGTACAAAAAATAATAACGAAAAAAATGAGAAAATTATTAGGTAACCCTAAAAAATAATAATATAAATAAAATATCATCTTTATAACTTATTTTACTTACGTTTTAAAATAAAATGTAAATTCGATCAACGCAATATAACCAAAAGAGGCAGAAAATGGGCGTAGGGCGGCATTTGAACACTAATTATAATTCTTCAATAATTGCGGTATTTTTTCAAATGACAAAAGGCAAGGCACAGCAGCTCAGTGAATGTGTTACAAAGATATAGCAAGGTTAGAAACGACTAATCAAAGGAAGATGAGAACATGGCTTTTTGTTTTGTTATAAGTCTTAAAGATTCTATATGATTTAAGAACACAAATGTGATAATTACCTCACAACAATCTAACCTAAATTCTTCTTAATGCCACATTCTTGATGCATTTTTTACGCACAGTTTAATTAATTATGATCATTGTATTAATTTACGTAAACTTTATATTGTACTTGAGTCAAAAGTTTAAATCACTTTTGAGCGTTAATTCAAAAAGTAAATATTGGAAGTAAAAGTTTATATTTACAACCAAAGAAACATACGTGTGAGGACATATATTTCAACTGTTAAACAAGGCCAACCATGATATGTAATAGGAAAAAATCTGACAAATCTCGCTTTCACCACTGGACTGATTTTCTGTCGCAAGACACTTTTGGAAACGGTACTTGCTTGGAAAACCTGCAAGTGAAAAAAAAAGTCATTCACAGTGTAGCCACTAAAAGACTGGCGAAACCTACTTAGTCTTTTGCCAAAAGTTTATTAATTACCAATTTAAGTTGACTCAAGGTCGCGGAAAAAACAAAGCGTGAAATAAAACTTTAAAGCTCAACACAGGAAAATGCATGAGAGGAAGATATGGAATAAACCAGGACGAAAATGCGAAATCTGCATTAAGAATGTTATATTACAGACCTTATCTGTGAACTTCTAACGCCATAGAAAGCACTTTTTTTGCATTGAAACTACAAAATGTAAACAACTAGCGCAAGTCACTTTATAAGTGCCTGTTCGCTCAATTGCAAATATCATTATTATATGAAAAGGACAAATTAGGAAAATTAACGTAACGCGCTTTATACTCATTAGTTTGAAATAGTATACAATAGAAGTTTCCTGGGTTAACGTCTGATTTTTTTTTTTTTTTTTTTTTTAAAAAAACAACTTGTATAAGCAATTTTCTGTGAATTAGATGACACTTGTGGCATACCAGAGGACATTGACTAAATGTCTGGGGTAATAACACCATTACAATGTAAATACAAACAACACCTCTGATATCATAGTAGTCAAGTTTCTTGGTTCTCTTTCGATTACTATTCATGTTTTGCCTCAAACTTAGACAACAGAATGATGTTACGTAAGGGGAAAGGTCTCTTGGTTAACGAAGCTCCCTAGTGAGAAATCCAGATGGTTTGCTCTTCTAACTTGCCTCTGAAAGGGGAAGAAATACCGGGAACGTTTTTTTTTTTTCTACGTAAGCTTATGGGAAGAAGAAGGTAAAACTAAGTTTTAGTTTACCTTTTGTGCTTTGTTCTCCTGGTACGTGTTGTTCCAGGTTACTCCATCCACTGAAACTCGTACGTAATACGTTTTGGTATACTCGCCAGTGTTTAACGTTTGCGTGGCCACTTTACAAACAGTATGCACGGCACCCATATCAACTTGAAGATAGTCTGTCCTATCACTAGTGGTCTTTGGACACCATCGGGTTCCCCTTGTTGTATTCACCCTTCCGTAGTACGCTTGATAACCCGAACTGTAAACTGTGCTTGCCGTCATTCTGGAATCTGGTATCTTCTTTGGGTCCGTTACCCCTACAGTGATACATGCTACAAAAATGGGCAATGCATATATATGTATTAATCAGACAGACCCATCTCATGCACTTAGTCTTTTGTGGAATTGAGCAAAAACACAGATAAAACAAATCAATAAGAAACGTGGCGACTGATCATTTGTCCAAGGTAGCTGTGTTCTAAGTTTGATACGTTGAATAGTTATTTTTAGGAAACCCACTGCGACAGGGTAGAAAATTGCGTCTAATACACGGACGCCAAAGTAGAAGTACATTTTGGCAATTCTCTACCAAATCCTACAAAAATGTTGCCAAGCTGACATTAAGATTCCATACAACGTACTTAAAGACTTTGTCAATCTTCAAATTTTGTTATGAAACATCTAAAGGAAAATCTTGCATCTAAACATTCCTGCTGTGTGGGAAAATCACAACACTTCCACCAAGAATAAATCTCAGTAGATTCAAGTACACACTTTGAACGTTCCTTTCGTTTTTTCGCTACTTTGAGAGAGCATCAGGATATTTGTAATTTGCATATTTATCTGCTATCGTCATTTCCATATCTTTTCTAGTCTTTTAAAATAAGACCTTGCAACTAACTCTTTGTAATTGCCCTCTACCGTATTTTAAGATATTTAGGAACCAAGTGGTTTCTTTAAAACATATTAACTAAATTAAATTTTGCGCCCATTAATCAGATTATGTAACCCTGATTAGGACTTGTAAGGCGGTTTAAAAAAAAAAAAACATCTAACGTCTTCTCCGAAAATAAAAGCAACTCACTCAGGTATGATAGTTTGAAAAAAAGACTAATTTAGAGTGATGTCTGTGGAGATTAATTGCTGGAGGTTTTAGGAATCTGTTTCTTTCACGTCATACATTTACATTCACAAACGTTTCAAAATAAAGTGAACACCTGCGACCGACTCTTCTTCGCATCTTTGTCCCTTCCAGCCACTACTACATTCACAAGTGTACCCTTGTCCACTTTCCCCTTCATGGCAGGTTCCTCCATTGAGACATGGGTTGCTATCGCACGCTTTAAAAAGAAAGCATAGTATTGAACAGTATTGAGCGAGATATCGGTACAAAAAATAATAACAAAAAAAAATAAGAGAATTATTACGAAACCCTAAAAAATAATAATATTAATAAAATATCATGTTTATAACTTATTTTACTTGCGTTTTGAAATAAAATGTAAATTCGATCAACAGAATATAACCAAAAGAGGCAGAAAATGGGCGTAGGGCGGCATCTGAAGACTAATTATAATTCTTCAATAATTGCGGTATTTTTTCCAAACGATAAAAAGGCAAAGCACAGCAGCTCAGTGAATGTATTACAAAGATGTACCAAGGTTAGAAAAGACTAATTCATGATCAGGGAGATAAGAACCTGGCTTTTTGTTTTGTTAAAAGTCCTAAAGATTCTATATGATTTAAGAACACAAATGTGATAATTACCTCACAATAATCTAACCTAAATTCTTCTTAATGCCACATTCTTCATGCATTCTTTACGCCCAATTTCATTAATTATGATCATTGTGTATTAATTTACGTAAATTTTATATTGTACTTGAGTCAAAAGTTTAAATCACTTTTGAGCGTTAATTCAAAAAGTAAATATTGGAAGTAAAAGTTTATATTTACAACGAAAGAAACATACGTGTGAGGACATATATTTCAACTGTTAAACAAGGCCAACCATAATATGTAATAGGAAAAAATCTGACAAATCTCGCTTTCACCACTGGACTGATTTTCTCTCGCAAGACACTTTTGAAAACGGTACTTGCTTGGAAAACCTGCAAATGAAAAAAAAAAAGTCTTTCATAGTGTAGCCACTAAAAGACTGGCGAAACCTACTTAGTCTTTTGCAACAAGTTTATTATTTACCAATTTAAGTTCCCTCAAGGTCGAACAAAGTGTCAAATAAAAGTTTATTACCAATTGAAGTTGACTCGAGGACGCGGAAAAAACATAGCGTGAAATAAAACTTTAAGGCTCAACACAGGAAAATGCATGAGAAGAAGATATGGAATAAACCAGGACGAAAATGCGAAATCTGCATTAAGAATGTTTTATTACAGACCTTATCTGCGTACTTCTAACGCCATAGAAACGACTCTCTATGCATTCAAACTACAAAATGTAAACTACTAGCGCAAGTCACTTTATAAGTGGCTGTTCGCTCAATTGCAAATATTATTATTATATGAAAAGGACAAATTAGGAAAACTAAGGTAACGCGCTTTATACTCATTAGTTTGAAACAGTATACATTAGAAGTTTCCTGGGTTAACGTGTGACTCTTTTTTTTTATTATTATTTTTATTATTATTATTATTTTTTTTATAAATAACTTAACTTGTATGGGCAATTTTCTGTAAATTAGCTGACACTTGTAACATACCACAGGACAATGACTAAATGTCTGGGGTAATAACACCATTACAATGTAAATAAAAACAACACCTCTGATACCATAGTAGTCAAGTTTCCCTGTTCTCTTTTGATTACTATTCATGTTTTGCCTCAAACTTAGGCAACAGAATGATGTTACATAACGGGAAAGGTCTCTTGGTTAACGAAGCTCCCTAGTAAGAAATCCAGATGGTTTGCTCTTCTAACTTGCCTCTGAAAGGGCAAAAAATACCGAGAACGTTTTTTTTTTTTTTTTTTCTACGTAAGCTTATGGGAAGGAGAAGGTAAAACTAAGTTTTAGTTTACCTTTTCTGCTTTGTTCTCCTGGTACGTGTTGTTCCAGGTTACTCCATCCACTGAAACTCGTACGTAATACGTTTTGGTATACTCGCCAGTGTTTAACGTTTGCGTGGCCACTTTACAAACAGTATGCACGGCACCCATATCAACTTGAAGATAGTCTGTCCTATTACTAGTGGTCTTTGGACACCATCGGGTTCCCCTTGTTGTATTCACCCTTCCGTAGTACGCTTGATAACCCGAACTGTAAACTGTGCTTGCCGTCATTCTGGAATCTGGTATCTTCTTTGGGTCCGTTACCCCTACAGCGATACATGCTACAAAAATGGGCAATGCATATATATGTATTAATCAGACAGACCAATCTCATGCACTTAGTCTTTTGTGGAATTCAGCAAAAACACAGTTAAATCAATAAGAAACGTGGCGACTGATCATTTGTCCACGGTAGCTGTGTTCTAAGTTTGATACGTTGAATAGTTATTTTTAGGAAACCCACTGCGACAGGGTAGAAAATTGCGTCTAATACACGGACGCCAAAGTAGAAGTACATTTTGGCAATTCTTTACCAAATCTTACAAAAATGTTGCCAAGCTGACATTAAGATTCCATACAACGTACTTAAAGACTTTGTCAATCTTCAAATTTTGTTATGAAACATCTAAAGGAAAATCTTGTATCCAAACATTCCTGCTGTGTGGGAAAATCACAACACTTCCACCAAGAATAAATCTCAGTAGATTCAAGTACACACTTTGAACGTTCCTTTCGTTTCTGCGCTACTTTGAGAGAGCATCAGGATATTTGTAATTTGTATATTAAATCTGCTATTATCATTTCCATTTCTTTTCTAGTCTTTTAAAATAAGACCTTGCAACTAACTCTTTGTAATTGCCGTCTACCCTATTTTAAGATATTTAGGAACCATGTGGTTTCTTTAAAACATAATATTTAGATTTACCAGGGCTAGAAGCGAAGCTCCCGTTAATAAATTCATAATTTAAATCAAACAATAAACTTGTAATCCACAGATCAGGGCACATTCATTTGACTTTTGAGGCAAAGGCTAAGTGATTTTAGAGAAAAATAATTTGACAGTCCAAGAGTGAAACAGCTTTTAGATCGAGTTTTTAAATAGTCTTATTTGTACACCCAAAAATAGCAATCATGTTCGATCACAGTAGATTAGGCCTGGAAAACAAATAGACCTACCTATTCGTGTATTGTATTTGCATCAGCTGTTGTATCCACCAGTCTCTTCAACATTACTCCGTTTGAGAGACTATGGATAATTGGACAACCCCGACATATAATTTTAAGAAACACACGCGCCACGATCGTCCTTGGTGGCAGCCAATTTACACGTTGCATTCCTCTGTCTTAAAGAGAGGCCAAAATAAAAAATGAGGCCGGATTTTTTGTGCTCGACAAGTTTAGTTTGCTAGTAAATCTTGGCGGCGAATCTGGTGGCGTGTAAACCAGCCTTTTAAACACACAATTTCTCATCACGTCTCAGGTAAACAGTACTATGAGGCCCTTTTTTTTATCATACAGACCTCGGACAGAATTTGTTTTTTTTTTTGCTCAATTTAAAACTTTAATGCTGCAGTTTTTCACAATTTTGCTAGAGAATTTGCACTCATTCAATATCCACGACGATCAAAGCACGCGCTTCCTTTGCACATCAAATTATACCATTGAATTATAAAACGTTTTCATGAAGAGAATTATATAATGCTGGGACTTTTCAGTTAGAAAAATCTGGTCCTATGTGATATGCAGGGTAATAATTATGGGCTTTTAACCCTATTCAGACTGGGGGGGGGGGGGCTTGTCGAACCCCCCCTCCGGCAAAATCGTGATAACTCCTACACCGAAAGAGCTATGACGTTCAAATTTTCTGACTTTTCCTAAAATTTATCTAGGAACATTTTGGTATAATTACCATGTCCATGTGATTAATCATGTTGCCATGGCAACCACTTTCTGACACATAGGTTTTGGAAATTTTAAAAAATGGTGATTTTTTTTTTGTTTTAAGATCGCGTTTTTACACTTATAGTGTTTTTGTTGTTAAAATGGCCTTTGCTTGGGACTACTTTTTGAATTACATCAAAATGTTTCAACATCGAATATTTAGGGGGGACGGGTGGGGTAAAATTTGTCACTTTTTTGCTTTGACAAATATGCTGCTCTTTTTTCCAAATAACACTTCCAAAGTCATTTGTTTGGGTAATAAACATTAGTTTGATACTTCTTTTATACATTCTGAGCTGTTTCCCCTTTGAAAGTTGCTTTAAATTATAATTTTAACAAAAAAACGGAAATCCAAGATGGCGGATCCAAGATGGCGGACAACCATTTCAAATTTTAAATTTTATTGCTGCCTATTGCTTTTTCTGGCTGTACAAGTGTTTCCTTGTTACTAGTTCATAAGAAAGGATAACAAAGACATGACTTTACCAATATTATTGATATTTTAAGTATCTAATTGGAAAAATAATAAGAAACATTGAAAAATCGGAATATGACGTCACTGTGACGTCATTATTGGGCGTGGCAAGTCAAAACTGGGTGTGGGGCTTCTTTGTACGGAGATGATCAGTGTGAGTAAATTTCATGACCCTAGCATTATTGGTTCCAGAGATACAGAGGGGGGGTCCGAGGAGCCCCCCCGCCCCCCAGTCACAGATTGACCAAAAAAGCCCAGTCTGAATAGGGGTAATGAAAACGACAAAAAAGTTCTCAAAATCACTTTTCGGCCAGCCGGACGGGTCTCACTTTTGACAGGCACCAAATTTGCAGTGCGATTAATAGAGTTACCATTTACGCTTCAACATGATAGATAAATTGTTATGTTTAGGTTTTATTTCCCTTTATTTATTAAACTGTGTATGGTTTTGTTATGTGTAATCTTTAAAAGCGAGTGATATTTACGCGCGTTTTGAGTATTCCTGCATGCGATGTTTATGTTCGACTGGAAACAACCGGTGCAGCGATAAAAATTGCGAGAGAGACTACTAACAATCAATAAAATAAATATAACTCGGTGAAACATGTACAGAGACAATAATTTTCATTTCCGAAGAGAAGTATTGAGAGTATAGTGTCTGGAAATCATGAGTCAGGTAAGCATAAGCTTATTTATGTTTTAAGCCGGCTTCCCGGTGTTGTCAAGATGAACTCGAGGCAAGAAAATCGCTCACAGATTTCTGTTTACAGCCAAAATCATAACTAAATAATCTTCGGAACTTTTTCTTTGAATTTGCGCTCAAAAAATGTCTAAAGGCTTTTTAAACCTGATACTATTGTAGGTTAGATCATTGCTCGTGTATAAACTTAAGCCGCATAAACCATACGCTCGACTTCAGGAAACCGAAACAAAAAGAACACATCAAAGATAATAATTGCTCACGTTTACCAGTCGAGATGCTGCTTCTGAAGGTCATCAAGTGTTCCAGAATCGCTTGAGACTTTTCAACCCTCTTACGCCTCAAGCAAGGGCAAGTGAGTAAGCTCATTTTTGAAAACGATGCCATCCGAAATCGGATTTCCAATGACTTTGGCAAGCGGTGCATTTGTCGACAAAAAGCGCAATAAACAAACCAGCTATGAATTACAGAACAATCTTGATAGCAGCTGTATTTCATTTTGCACACCAAGTAGAAAAAGACAGTTTAAAACATCACAAGATGACACAAAACTCTGTCAGCTCCAGCTATCAGTAAGCAAGTTTCCAGACGCTGCATAAATTTTCCGCATGAACTCACCTGTCAAATTTTGACCAATCAGAACATAAACATTGGACGTAGAGCGTGATCAACGCGTGACAGTGAGAAAAGTCAAAAGTGATTGCCTTCCCTGCATGTAAATGTAAAAGCCGGTTGGATTTTCGCGTCCGAGGTCAGTTCGAAAGTGGGGCTCATGAACACGACTTCTTTCATATACATTTTAAAAAAATTGAACTTGAGCCTGCGATAATTGAAAAGTAGTAACTTGTCAGCGGATACCTTCAAAAAAACACTCGAACTCTGTGGGTCGATACCTGAGCCCACAGGTCAGGCGATTCTGGTCAGCAAAAACCCTATTTTCACAGCTGTCAATCAATCAAAACAAGGATGTACAATATCAGGTTGCGACACGCGTGCAAAACGTCTGCGCATGCGCAAGGTCTCTATTTTCAATAATTAAAATTTGCAAAATCTTCCCCATTTAAATTGAAAAACACTTAGGAATGTTTGATATGTTTAATTGTTTGCAGCCGGTTCTAGTATTAAGCACAGCAAAAAATTACTTAAACTAACTTAACTAACTGGCAAAGTCGTCCAGTACAAGGTTTTTCCGTCCTTGTTTTTCCACTTAGCATGCATTGGTCGTTTTCGTTATTCGCATTGACCGAGCTCAGCGACATGATGACCAAAACAGCAACAATGGCTACGGCGAAGTGCTGCCAGAGCGAGCGTGGACTTTCAAACATGATTTTCGCCTTTGGTGCAAGGAGGAAAGAAAGAAACTAAAGCAATTAATAAACTTTGTGTTCGTGAAATTCTAAGCTTATCTTTTGTGTGTGGAGCTTACTTTTTTAAATTTCGCGGCCGGAATCTAGTTTGTTTTGGTATCGCGTATAATTTCGATTGGGGGAGGCACATGAAAATTCGCGCCGGAAGCAGGGAAGGCACGCATGCGCACTGCGTTTTTCACGCGTGTCTCAGGTTGCAGGTTCCCAAACTAGCTAGAAAGTGTGAGATTAAACATTGGTATGCCTGTGGTGCGGACGGACGGAAGGTGGGGTGGTCGGTGTACGGTCACGTGAATGCCGAATTTTCTAAGATGGATAGATTTTCTAAGCTATGGGGCTTCGAATTGAGCCCGTGATCAAATAAAATATCAGCGCAAAACTTTAAACACTACGTGACCTCAAGGGATAGACAAATGAGCCCGAGATACACCATAACAGGCCAGAGCCCTGATTTTAAGTACTAGGCGACTTTGAAAGACGCGTGCTTCACATATTTGTGGCGGATTAGAATGCCGGCTTGGTCAGAGGCCCTTTGTTTAAAACATGGCGGGATACTCGCAGCTTAAGGCAAGCATGTGCCTTGTAGCTGTCAACATAATGCTTTTTAATTACATTCTGTCATAATTAACAAAACCCGATCCATGTTTGATTGAAAGTAATTGTACAATCTGGTACCAGACAAACCGCTTTTAAAAAACAAAAACACAAAACTAGTTTATGGTTATTTCTCATTAATTTCACTTGATCAAAACAAATATTTACTTTTATCAGTTTTCCCGTTTCTTTCAAACATCCTTCATTTCCGGGCGTTTCACTGTAGTCAATGAAAGATGCGTTTTATCGGTCTTCTTTTTCGCGGGAATATCAAAATTTCCATCTTTCAAAACGCGATGAACCAAAGCTCGCAGGATACCAAAGCGCCAAAGGCGCACGATGAAGTCCCGGTGTTTTGTCAGCACCCGTTAAAAATATTGAACGCCAAAACTATCAAGTTTTGGTACAGCGAGAGGCAGCTAGTTGTAGTTTCTGTACCCAAAGGTTAGTGCATCGACAGGCTATCGAAAGAAAATAAAAGGGATGGTTGCCCAATGGATAGCAGGCCTAACTACGCAAAATAAATGTCTCATTGCATCCTTGTCTGCGAGGTTAGTACTAAATTTACACTCTAGAATACACTACACAACTCAATCAGCAACACTTTGCAAGTAGAATTGATGATCAGTGTGGGCAATTTATATTTCTAAGGGACGTCCGTCGCACAAAGGCTTAACGCGCGGGGGTTTTTAGTCAATGACTGACATAACAGTTTCCTCACAATCGACCCAGTTAGAATGCGATAATGTGCGCGTGAACTTTGCCTACAACTGGCAATAAGCTGAATAAACCGGAAGCTGAACACCATGAATAAGTTACCAAATTACATCGCAGGTTCTTTTTCTTTTTTTTTTCAAGTACCGGAAGGGTTTTTCGTGCATTCTGTTGCGCAGTTTGGCAGTGATATACCGAGCATCAGACAGGTAACGCACCGAAGCCACCATTTTACTCTTCTTCTACCAAACAGTTTTCCTGCAATGGCTTTAGTACTGGTCCCGTTGCCGAAACCTTGCACGAACAAGATACGGTAATCGAGAGTCGAGAATCGAGAATCGATATTGTACTCGGGACAAGAAAAGGTCGCCGTCCAAGGAACAACTGATGCAATGCAAGAGCTTCAAGCTGCTGAGAATCGCCAATTCTAGATTACAAGCAGTGAGGGAACTCCTGAGAAGCGTCCAAATTATAAAGGAACTTTTGGAGGCCAGTCAGCCACGGTGATTGTCGCACCACGCATAAAGTAGAATAAATTTGTTAGCCTGGTCTTGTCTTTGCCACAAATCACGTAAAACTATAAAGAAGGTACCACTATGAACTCTGGAAAATGAAAATTCAATAATACTATGGTTGACGACTGACAGTTTAAAAGAGAGACTACCTTCACCTCAGAATCTTGGGCGCGCCGCCTGTAAGCTCTGAGGGAGAGGGAAGCCCCATAATTTGGCCTATTTCAAAAACAAATGACACTACAAAAATAACCTACAATAATAATTTGGATAAATGACCGACATTTTAAAAGAGAGACTACCATCACCTCAGAAACTTGGGCGCGCCGCCTGTAAGCTCTGAGGGAGAGGGTAGCCCCATATTTTGGCCTATTTCAAAACAAATGACAGTACAAAGATGAACTAAAATAATAATTTGGATAATGACCGACATTTCAAAAGAGAGACTACCATCACCTCAGAATCTTGGGCGCGCCGCCTGTAAGCTCTGAGGGAGAGGGAAGCCCCATAATTTGGCCTATTTCAGAAACAAGTGACAATACAAAAATAACCTACAATAATAATTTGGATAAATGATCAACATTTTAAAAGAGAGACTACCATCACCTCAGAATCTTGGGCGCGCCGCCTGTAAGCTCTGAGGGAGAGGGTAGCCCCATAATTTGGCCTATTTCAAAACAAATGACAAAACAAAGATGACCTACAATAATAATTTGGATAATGACCGACATTTCAAAAGAGAGACTACCATCACCTCAGAATCTTGGGCGCGCCGCCTGTAAGCTCTGAGGGAGAGGGTAGCCCTACATTTTGGCCTATTTCATAACAAATGACAGTACAAAGATGAACTAAAATAATAATTTGGATAATGACCGACATTTCAAAAGAGAGACTACCATCACCTCAGAATCTTGGGCGCGCCGCCTGTAAGCACTGAGGGAGAGGGTAGCCCCATAATTTGGCCTATTTCAAAAACAAATGACAGTACAAAAACAACCTACAAAAATAATTTGTGTTATGACCGACATTTTAAAAGAAAGACTACCTTCACCTCTGAATCTTGGGCGCGCCGCCTGTAAGCTCTGAGGGAGAGGGTAGCCCTATAATTTGGCCTATGACACTACAAAAATCACCTAAAAAAAATGTTTGGATTATGACCGACATTTCAAAAGAGAGACTACCTTCACCTCAGAATCTTGGGCGCGCCGCCTGTAAGCTCTGAGGGAGAGGGTAGCCCTATAATTTGGCCTAGTAAGTAAAAAGCAAGTAACAATACAAAGGTAACATGAAATAATAATTTTTGGATTATGATTGACATTTCAAGGAGGCTAAAATGACTGATATAGAAACCATACTGTATCTGTGACGTTGATTATACAGATCGCCCAAGCGAACACGAAGATGTTGAAATGGAAGCTAGAATATCAGGAGTAATCCAGCGTCATGGGCTCCTTCCAGCGAATAAGATTTTGGCGGGATTTCGACAGTGGTTGGCGGGCTTTTTGGAGAGTGATTTGTCACTGGAAGCACATCGACGCTTACATCGTCTTAAGCCAGAGAAAAAAGACTTGAATCCTTCGCCGTTTGATCAAAAAGATCGTCTATTGAATCACATAATCGATCTTGCTGTTCCTCAAGGGGATGTGAAGTAGAGCTCGAGCTCTCGCCTTCGTTTTCTCCGGCGACTATAAAATGTGCATTGTTGACGGCTTTTCTCAAACGTTCAAATAGAGAAGATTTAAAAATTTCTTTGGTCAGGGTCTTTTCCACGCCGAGTTCCTTCCAAACCGGAGAAAGATGTGCCAGCAGAGAGTGTATTCCTACTTGTGGCTCCACAGTAAAAACTTGATACGCCGACTCGCTGTTTTCGCTTCGAAGGTCACCAATGTTGACACGGCATACTACTCTTGACAGAAGTTAAATAAGCCATCGGAGCACTATTTTCTTAAAACAAAGCACTTGAAAGACCATTGAAAGCGTATCAAGCCTATTTGAATCCAAATGCGGCGATAAAACTGTAGTTATCAATTGCGAAGCCAGAGGCGCGAAGATCGACTTCCAAATTTTCAATCGACCGTGAAATGAATTTATAATACCCAAATAGTCTGATCAAATTTCGCGTCGCCTTGAGATGTCTGGTTCGTTTAATCAGAAGTACAAAGTTCCTTGACAGGCAATGTGTCCGGCGCACTCCAAAGGTGTCTGGAGGAATGCTTATAACTAATTACGAAAGTAACGCTTGTCTGTTATTGGAAACCGATTTGTGGTGGTTGCTGTAGAGATTAGGCCTCCTCCTGCGCACACTAAAATCGGGGCTCTGGCCTGTTATGCAGGTGATGATGATCAGCGTATACTCTAGTTTGACAGCTGTCAATTAACCTTCATTAGAATGGCAAATATGCGAATTATCAGACTACGAGCGTGAGTAAGACATATCCGTCCGGCATGTAGTGGAAAATGCCAGATCGTGTACCTGAGCGAGCCTGAGCCCACGTTATTAGTTTTCTGATAGTGCTCTGCACATGTCCCATTTTAACAGCTGTCAATAGACCTTAACTTTAAACGACTGTCAGCCAACTGACAGCCTTGCCCGGCGTAGTTTCGTTTATATGTTGAATTGGAAAGTGTGACATATTATATTAGCTTATATGTAGGGGCAAAACGACTGGTCCTTCATCCGAGCCCGCGAGATGGTCATGTGATAATTGTCAGCGGATGTCTGATTTTGAAAGCTGTCAATCTAATCGTACTCATACGGATAGCTTACATAACTAATGCTGTGTTTACACTCAAGCGTTTACGAAGGTAAACATTAACTGACTAAACCCTGGTACATTTGTACAGTGTTTATACGGGCTCAAATAACTAAGGTAAATCTGTCATCAATCACAATCTAATCGAATTGGCGGCAAATTCTAAATCCATGCATAAATTGTTGGCGTTTAAAAGAGAAGCTGTGGCTCTTGTAGTCCTCGCGTTTATTTTCTTGTTCTTGATCAGCAAACCCAGGAATCGAGATTGCAGCAGCTCTTACTTTTGCAGCACCTAAAAAGGTCGAGGCGAAAGCGATTAATTCTGCTACAAATTGCCCTTTGCAAGACAAGGCGCGTTAGACCTGCGTGGTCGTGGCCGAGAAACCAATTCTGGTTCGAAACTTTACCTTTCGGGCAGGTTGCATTCGTAATGATTTGTGTCTTTGTTTTTTGCCATAACTTATTCGTAGACCGAAACCAAACGTGGAAACCTGGTCGAAAACCTGGTCTCGAAAACGTGATCGAATGAGACTGACGCAATCTCGACACCACAGGATGCAAAATTCTATGCGACCGCAAGCGGATGTATCTGTCATCCAAACCTTAGTTACCGACCTTAACCATGCCTGCTCGCGGGGAAAACCGAACTTTTACCCTAGTTAACTTTCTATTGTCTTGAGCGGTGTTTACCAGGGTATCAGTTGGCGTTTACACACGCAAAATATTTACCTAGGTAAGTTAACTCCAATACCTAGGTAGCACGCTCAAGTCTAAACACGGCATAAGAGGCTAGTCAACTTGTGCAAGATCTATTGCGACATTTCACATCTACTTACATGAAGAGTGTGTACGGGTGCGCGGGTGGGTGGGCGGGCGTACGCTACTTAATAACCAAATTTTCTCGGATGGATAGTTTACCAGATTTTCTCACTCATGGTGCTCCGCTGCGCCGACGCTTCGCGCGCGCGAGGAGCTCCGCTAATAACTAAATTAAATTTAGCGCCCATTTATCAGATTATGTAACCCTGAATAGGACTTGTAATGCGGTTTAAAAAAGACCATCTAATGTCTTCCCCGAAAATAAAAGGAACTCATCACTCACGCATGAGAGTTTGAAAAAAAACTAATTTAGAGTGATGTCTGTGGAGATTAATTGCTGCAGGTTTTAGGAATCTGTTTCTTACACGTCATACATGTACATTCACAAACGTTTCAAAATAAAGTGAATACCTGCAACCGCCTCTTCTTGGCATCTTTGTCCCTTCCAGCCACTACTACATTCACAAGTGTACCCTTGTCCACTTTCCTCTTCACGGCAGGTTCCTCCATTGAGACATGGGTTGCTATCACAAGCTTTAAAAAGAAAGGCATAGTATTGAACAGTATTGAGCGAGATATCGGTACAAAAAATAATAACAAAAAAAATGAGAAAATTATTAGGTAACCCTAAAAAATAATAATATAAATAAAATATCATCTTTATAACTTATTTTGCTTACGTTTTGAAATAAAATGTAAATTCGATCAACGCAATATAACCAAAAGAGGCAGAAAATGGGCGTAGGGCGGCATTTGAACACTAATTATAATTCTTCAATAATTGCGGTACTTTTCCAAATGACAAAAGGCAAAGCACAGCAGCTCAGTGAATGTGTTACAAAGATATACCAAGGTTAGAAACGACTAATCAAAGGAAGATGAGAACATGGCTTTTTGTTTTGTTAAAAGTCCTAAGGATTCTATATGATTAAGAACACAAATGTGATAATTACCTCACAACAATCTAACCTAAATTCTTCTTAAAGCCACTTCTTCATGCATTTTTTACGCACAATTTAATTAATTATGATCATTGTATTAATTTACGTAAATTTTATATTGTACTTGAGTCAAAAGTTTAAATCACTTTTGAGTGTTAATTCAAAAAGTTAATATTGGAAATAAAAGTTTTTATTTACAACGAAAGAAACATACGTGTGAGGACATATATTTCAACTGTTAAACAAGGCCAACCATGATATGTAATAGGAAAAAATCTGACAAATCTCGCTTTCACCACTGGACTGATTTTCTGTCGCAAGACACTTTTGAAAACGGTACTTGCTTGGAAAACCTGCAAGTGAAAAAAAAAGTCATTCACAGTGTAGCCACTAAAAGACTGGCGAAACCTACTTAGTCTTTTGCCAAAACTTTATTAATTACCAATTTAAGTTGACTCAAGGTCGAACAAAGAGTGAATTAAAACTTTATTACCAATTGAAGTTGACTCGAGATCGCGGAAAAAAACAAAGCGTGAAATAAAACTTTAAGCTTCAACACAGGAAAATGCATAAGAAGAAGATATGGAATAAACCAGGACGAAAATGCGAAATCTGCATTAAGAATGTTTTATTACAGACCTTATCTGTGTACTTCTAAAGCCATAGAAACGACTTTCTATGCATTCAAACTACAAAATGTAAACTACTAGCGCAAGTCACTTTATAAGTGGATGTTCGCTCAATTGGAAATATTATTATTATATGAGAAGAACAAATTAGGAAAATTGACGTAACGCGCTTTATACTCATTAGTTTGAAATAGTATACATTAGAAGTTTCCTGGGTTAACGTGTGATTTTTTTTTTTTTTTTTTTTTTTTTTTTTTATAAATAACTTAACTTTTATGGTCAATTTTCTGTAAATTAGCTGACACCTGTAACATACCACAGGACAATGACTAAATGTCTGGGGTAATAACACCATTACAATGTAAATAAAAACAACACCTCTGATACCATAAAAGTCAAGTTTCATGGTTCTCTTTTGATTACTATTCATGTTTTGCCTCAAACTGATGTTACGTAACGGGAAAGGTCTCTTGGTTAACGAAGCTCCCTAGTAAGAAATCCAGATGGTTTGCTCTCCTAACTTGCCTCTGAAAGGGCAAAAAAGGTCGGGAATGGTTTTTTTCTACGTAAGCTTATGGGAAGGAGAAGGTAAAACTAAGTTTTAGTTTACCTTTTCTGCTTTGTTCTCCTGGTACGTCTTGTTCCAGGTTACTCCATCCACTGAAACTCGTACGTAATACGTTTTGGTATACTCGCCAGTGTTTAACGTTTGCGTGGCCACTTCACAAACAGTATTCACTGCACCCATATCAACTTGAAGATAGTCTGTCCTATCACTAGTGGTCTTTGGACACCATCGGGTTCCCCTTGTTGTATTCACCCTTCCGTAATACGGTTGATAACCCGAACTGTAAACTGTGCTTGCCGTCATTCTGGAATCTGGTATCTTCTTTGGGTCCGTTACCCCTACAGCGATACATGCTACAAAAATGGGCAATGCATATATATGTATTAATCAGACAGTCCCAACTCCTGCACGTAGTCTCTTGTGGAATTCAGCAAAAACACAGTTAAAACAAATCAATAAGAAACTTGGCGACCGATCATTTGTCCACAGTAAGTGTGTTCTAAGTCTGATACGTTGAATTGTTATTTTTAGGAAACCTACCGCGACAGGGTAGAAAATTCCGTCTAATACACGGACGCTAAAGCAGAAGTACATTTTGGCATCCTCTACCAAATCCTAAAAAAATGTTGCCAAGCTCATCGCGTAGAATGCCCTGTCACATACGGGAATTTAACAGGCTAAAGCCGCATTCGAGCCACGAGTTGGTCTTTAAAATATGGCCGAGTAATACGACTGAAGCGACTTTGAGAGTTTTTTGACTGTGATTGTGAGTTACTCGCAACCAAATCTCAATGGGTACCTCCGGAATATTAATATCAAAAAACATCAAATTCAAGATCTCACCTTCGATTAATGCCAGTTTATCGGATTTCACTGAGTTTTTCGCTCTAAAAACCAACCAAAAAATCGCCACTTTTGTATGGATTTTCACTTGCGTAGACTTTCGCGGAAAGATTACAACCAAAGTTTGCAGAAATCGCGAACGCTACCACCTGATATCGTGACATCTCTCGTCTGCCTTTAAAACCACCACAGTCTTTTAAACCAAAGAATGTGATAAAAACTGGGTTTTTTGTTTTCCTTTGAATTTGACCTAAACCCGTGAGGGGTAGCCAGCGCGAAGAAAACTTCCAGAAAACGTCTTTGAAAGCCAAAAAAAAATTTTCCGCATTTCGGCCGCCGTCTTTTTTATTTTTGCAAACTTGTTTTTAGTTCTCCTTGACCGTTTTGTTGTTTTTACCTCATGTATGTTTCATTTAAAGTGTCACGGATAAAAACAGCAAAATACTAACCCCCACCTTGACGGGAAATTTTTTGTTGACCTCAATGGACCGGGAATTCTACGCGACGGACATTAAGATTCCATACAACGCACTTAAAGACTTTGCCAATCTTCAAACTTTGTTATGAAACATCTAAAGGAAAATCTTCCATCCAAACATTCCTGCTGTGTGGGAAAATCACAACACTTCCACCAAGAATAAATCTCAGTAGATTCAAGTACACGCTTTGAAAGTTCCTTCCGTTTTCGCTCTACTCTGAGAGAGCATCAGAATATTTGTAATTTGCATATTTATCTGCTATCATCATTTCCATTTCTTTTCTAGTCTTTTAAAGACCTTGCAACTAACTCTTTCCAATTGTCCTCTACCCTATTTTAAGATATTTAGGAACCAAGTGGTTTATTTAAAACATAAACTAAATTAAATTTTGCGCCCATTTATCAGATTATGTAACCCTGATTAGGACTTGTAATGCTGTTTAAAAAAGACCAGTTAACGTCTTCTCCGAAAATAAAAGGAACTCACCACTCACGCATGATAGTTTGAAAAAAAACTAATTTAGAGTGATGTCTGTGGAGATTAATTGCTGCAGGTTTTAGGAATCTGTTTCTTACACGTCATACATTTACATTCCCAAACGTTTCAAAATAAAGTGAACACCTGCAACCGACTCTTCTTCGCATCTTTGTCCCTTCCAGCCACTACTACATTCACAAGTGTACCCTTGTCCACTTTCCTCTTCACGGCAGGTTCCTCCATTGAGACATGGGTTGGCATCACACGCTTTAAAAAGAAAGGCATAGTATTGAACAGTATTGAGCGAGATATCGGTACAAAAAATAATAATAACAAAAAAATAAGACAATTATTAGGTAACCCTAAAAAATAATAATATTAATAAAATATCATCTGTATAACTTATTTTACTTACGTTTTGAAATAAAATGTAAATTCGATCAACGGAATATAACCAAAAGAGGCAGAAAATGGGCGTAGGGCGGCATTTGAAGACTAATTATAATTCTTCAATGCTTGCGGTATTATTCCAAACGATAAAAGGCAAAGCATAGAAGGCCTAAATGTAATAAACGGTCCTAAATGTAATAAAGTCCTAAATATAATAAAATTTTGTCCTAAATGTAATAAAGTCCTAAATGTAATAAACTCTTAAGCTGCCAATTACAGTAATTACTCGAATAAGCCCCGCCCTCAAATAAGCGCCGCATTTAGGTGGGTGGTGGAGTTAATTAGCGCCGCGGCGCTTATTCGAGTAAATACATTAGTAAGCGGTATTGCTATGGTATTAAGCTCCGATCTCAAATAAGCGCCGCGTTTTTGGACAAAAAGTTAATAAGCGCCGCGGCGCTAATTCGCGTAAATTCGGTACATTTCCTTATGCACGTCGTCTCAGGTTTGCATAACTGTCTCGAATTCTCCCAACCCCTCGAGTGTTTATATCAGGCTATTCAAACACAGGGAAAAAGTTTTCTATTGCTTAAATATTGCTTTTTTTTAGAAAAATACTGTTACTTTGCCGTTTACATTACTTTACAAGCAATTTATTCGTAAACGTTAAGTTTCACAGTGCATAACGAAATGTACCGAATTCACGCGAATTAGCGCCGCGGCGCTTATTAACTTTTTTCTCCAAAAACGTGGCGCTTATTTGAGAGCGGAGCTGAATACCATAGCAATACCGCTTAGTACCGTATTTACTCGAATAAGCGCCGCGGTGTTAATTAACTCCCCCACCCCCCTAAATGCGGCGCTTATTCGAGGGCGGGGCTTATTCGAGTAATTACTGTAATTGGCAGCTTAAAAGTTTATTACATTTAGGGCAAATTGTTATTAAATTTAGGACAAATGTTATTACATTTAGGACTTTATTACATTTAGGACCGTTTATTACATTTAGGCCTTCAAAGCACAGCAGCTCAGTTAATGTGTTACGAAGATATACCAAGGTTAGAAAAGACTAATTCTTGATCAAGGAGATGAAAACCTGGCTTTCAATTTGTTAAAAGTCCTAAAGATTCTATATGATTTAAGAACACAAATGTGATAATTACCTCACAACAATTTAACCTAAATTCTTCTTAATGCCACATTCTTCATGCATTTCTTTACGCACAATTTAATTATGATCATGGTATTCATTTACGTAAATTTTATATTGTACTTGAGTCAAAAGTTTAAATCACTTTTGAGCGTTAATTCAAAAAGTAAATATTGGAACTAAAAGTTTTATTTACAACCAAAGAAACATACGTGTGAGGACATATATTTCAACTGTTAAACAAGGCCAACCATAGTATGTAATAGGAAAAAATCTGACAAATCTCGCTTTCACCACTGGACTAATTTTCTGTTGCAAGACACTTTTCAAAACGGTACTTGCTTGGAAAACCTGCAAGTGAAAAAAAAGTCATTGATAGTGTAACCACTAAGAGACTGGCGAAACCTACTTAATCTTTTGCAACAAGTTTATTATTTACCAATTTAAGTGGACTCAAGGTCGCGGTAAAAACAAAGCGTCAAATAAAACTTTAAGGCTCAACACAGGAAAATGCACGAGAAGAAGATATGAAATAAACCAGGAGGAAAATACGAAATCTGCATTAAGAATGTTTTATCACAGACCTTATCTGTGAATTTCTAACGCCATAGAAACGATTTTTTTTTATTCTTTCTTTATTTGCCATATTTTCAAAATTTTACAATGCAAGGTTGGAACAACGAGATTAAAGAAAAAGTAAATGGCGAGGAGACCTGAAAGAAACCACGAGGCTTATAATGAGTCAGGTCTCCTCAACTTGGGATAAACTAGTCTTGATAATATAATTACAATATGGGCTTATGATGGCTAACTTTGACCGCGGACTCACACACACACACATACACACACACACGTTAAATCAATTAATCTAATAATCTACTTAATGACATGCTGAAGCTAATACATACTAAGAAGGAATTCTTTAAGCTTTCTTTTAAAAGAAGCAGAGGAGGACGAACGAGTTATAGTAGAATTTAGCGAATTATAAAACTTTGGACCTTAGAAATAAATTGAGAACTGTCTGGTGTTCGTTCTGCATAGTGGCAAGCGAAATGAGTGGGCATTCCTAGTATTATAATTATGGATTTGACGGTTTATTATTATTAGGTTTGTTCTCTTCTATCAAAAGCAGAAGAAATTTTATCACACAAATCGATAAGGGCGAGGCTAGGGGAACGATTTTTCCTAAAGCCATATTGATTATCACAAAGTACATTGAAGTCATTGAGATAATTTATGATACGGTTGTAAATTATTCGATTCGCTCCAAAAACTTTGAAAAGGAAGGTAGAACTGAGATAGGTCTGTAATTACTGAAGAGAGCTTTGTCACCTGATTTACAAATAGCAACCACACGAGCAATTTTCAATTCATCTAAAACGATACCGTGGATAATAGAGAGATTTATAATGTGAGTTAGTGGAGAGGAAATGCCCGGAGGAAATGCTGCCAATAGATCGTTTTATAATAGACATGGGAATGTTGTCATACCCTGCCGATTTTCCCGCCGGAAACTTAGGGCCTGTTTACATGATGGTGGGGGACCCCAGGTAGGTGAGGTAACCCGCGTAGGTGGGGTAACCCGCCTGTCCATACAATCTCTCATTTTAATGTGATCACGTTTACATGTTAGGTGGGGTAACCCGCCACATGTTACCTCACCTACCTGGGGTCCCCCACCCTCATGTAAACAGGCCCTTACATGCAATATCTACAATCTCCTCCTGAGTTGCTAAATTTAGGAACATAGACTGAGGGAAATCGCCAAAAAGAAAATTTTTATGCGAAGTGGCAGATTGAATCCGTTTGGCAAGGTTTGGTCCAATGTTACTGAAGTAATAACAAAATCGATTTGCAATCTCCATTGGGTCAGAAATTTCTTGGTCATCAACCTTGAAAACCGAGTTGGGCTTGGGTCTCAATTTCTTGTTATTTAGCACCTCATTAAGCAGACGCCAGGTGGCTGTCATATTAGATTTTGACTTGTTTAACTTCTTATCGTAATATAAGCGTTTCGCAATTCGTAAGGAGTCATTTAATTTGTTCGTATATGTTTTATATATCAGTTCCCTCTGAGGAGAAGGATTTGAAAGATACCGCTTGTATAATTTATTTTTCTGCTTGATAGATTTAAGAAGGCCCTGAGATATCCATGGCCCCCACGGATGAAGGCGGCGTTTTAGTTTCTTCAAAGGGAAATGTTCTTCGTAAGTTTTAGTGTATCGCTCGAGAAATTTACTATAGTAGATTTTAGGATCATTATACCCGTCGAGGTTAGACCAGTCAGTATATAATCTAACTCCTCTAAGAAGCTGGATATATTTCGCTCGCTTTTGTCACGAACAAATATACTTTCTTGGCGTTGATGGGTAAGCATATGATCAAGGGAAACGGAAAATATTAGCAAATGGTCCGAAATGTCAGTTATTAATAGTCCAGACCTCAAATAACTATGCTCGGCATGATTGGAAAAAATGTTGTCTATCAGAGTAGCAGTGTGAGAAGTAATTCGGGAAGGTAGCGTGATTAAGGGAAAAAACAGATGAGAATACAAACCATCCAAAAATTCCCCGGCGGCGTTGTGATTTTGATTGTTCAGCAAATTCAAATTAAAATCTCCCATTAAATAGCACATTTTGTTGTCCCGAGATGTATTCCCTAATACGTCGTTCATTCTAATCACGAAATCATTACATTTTGATTTGGAGGGCGATAAATTATACCAACAATAACGTTTCTCTCATAGGATCGAATGATCTCTATGAACAATGATTCCATCACGTCATCTTCATAAACATAAATATCTGTGCGAATTCTAAAATCAAGATTGTCTGACACATACAAACCCACACCTCCACCCGTTTTGGCAGAGCGATTTTTGTAAACAAAGTTATAACCATCAATGTTGACTCCTAGTGATGAATCCTGTAACCAGGTTTCTGTTATCCCAACAACGGAAAATTTTATATTTAGAGTGGATAGAAGAGCCGATAATTCATCAACCTTATTTTGAACGCTTCGAATGTTAAGATGGAAAAACAAAAGATGGTTCGATTGTTCACGATTGATCATGGTTTCAGTTTGAAGGGTATCTTAATTTAAATTTATCTTCTACATAATAAGAACATCCACCGTCAATATTGAAATGTATGTCAGGGTCCAGATCATCAGACCGAACTAAAAACCGTTCAAAATCACAAGTCAAAGGATTTATAGGTAAGTTTGATTCTTACTTTCTATGCATTCAAACTATAAAATGTAAACTACAAGCGCAAGTCACTTTATAAGTGGCTGTTCGCTCAATTGCAAATATCATTATTATATGAAAAGGACACATTAGGAAAATTAACGTATTACGCGCTTTATACTCATTAGTTTGAAATAGTATACATTATAAGTTTCCTGGGTTAACGTCTGATTTTTTTTTTTATAAATAACTTAACTTGTATGGGCAATTTTCTGTGAATTAGATGACACTTGTGGCATACCCCAGACATTCAGTCATTGTCCTGTGGTAATACGCGTGTGAAATACCTCCATGGAATTCCATGGAATGCCATGGAAATCCATGGAAATCCATGGAAATCTATGGAAATCCATGGAATTCCATGGAAATCCATGGAAATCCATGGAATTCCACGAAACTCCCATGGAGTATCCATGGAGTTCCATGGAATGCCATGGAGTTCCATGGAGTATCCATGGAATGCCATGGAGTTCCACGGAGTTCCATGAAGTATTGATGGAGTTCCATGGAATGCCATGAAATTCCATGGAATATCGTGAAGTTCCATGGAATGCCATGGGGTTCCCTGAAGTACCGATGCAGTTCCATGGAATGCCATAGCGTGTCCATGGAGTTCGATAGAATACCATGCAGTTTGTATGAGAAAATCCATAGAAATTCAGTAATCAAGCAACTCATTAACTTGTTAACCACATGTTCAAGTCTGCACTTTTTATTGGATAGAAAAATAGGAAACATTTGGAAGCTTTCTAAAAGCAAAATAGTGCATTTAGTTTAAATTACACAGACAATGCAAAAGTATTGTTCACCGACGCTGAAAGTCCCAGTGTAAGAGATTTTATTGCTAACTATAAAGAGGAATGTTTTGTGTGCTTAATAAAAAAATGATCCTGTTGAAAAAAAATAAATATAGAAAATTATTTTTTAGTAGGGCTGTCTGCCATTTATCTTTTAAAATCAGAGTTGCATTTAAAATATGAGAAGATGACTGTTATTAACAACATGCAGTTGCTTCATAATGGCACAGTGCCGCTATTCGTACAGGACCCGTACACCGACGTGTATTTGCTATGACATACGGGATCAAGTCTCTACTTGAAATTTATATGAAATTTCTAAGTCTCTTGAAATTTCTGATCAACAAATTTCCATGAAAGTGTAAGTCTCTTCAACCACTGTTCCATTTTTAAGGAAACAATTTCAGTGTTAAATTTTGAAAAGAAGAAAAATTCGATGTGGCAAGATTGAGAACCGATCCAGGGGCGTAGAATCCATAATTCGTAGCCTAACCACTCTACCATGGAGTAGTAACTAGCTGCTAGGTGGAGTTTGATTTTATTCGTATAACAACAACCGTAACCCTAATTAGAGGCTAACCGTTTCGAGTCAGTGCTTAAATAGACCTAATCAGTTTAGTCAGAATCCCGTATGAATAGCAAATACAAGACGATGTATGGGTCCCGTACTTAAATAGCCAGTACTGGAAATGATCCCACTAGGCACATAACTCTTCTCGGTATCGAAGTGTGTTTTGGTTGAGAGCTAAGATTTTCCCTATTACTCGAGTCCAACCTGATTGATGAGATTGCTTTGTATGGAGTATTTCGGCGAACCTACTCAAGCAATATTAGAGTTTTTTGCCGCATCCGTGGATAGGCTAATCTGCTACACAGCCGTTTTTAGTGCGGAGGAGCGTTGCGTGACGACACTAAGATCAGACTATGAATAGGCCTGCTGCCTTTTTTAAAAGGTTCCCTCACCTGGGAGAACAATGCAATATTTTCCTCTCACTGCTTTACTCTTCTACAGCGTCGGAATAGTACAATTAACTCTGAAAGGGACCACAATTTAAAGCCTTTAAAGACAGACATCTCCACGATCGTGCCGTGATTTGACGCCATGTTTGGTGCTTGAAGTGGCGTGCAGACCTCCCCGCTTAGTGACTTACGCGACTCGTGGAGCTTTTGAACCAATAGAAATGCGTAGAAGATCAGTTTTCTTGGTTCGAATCTTTAGGCGGACTTCTGTGCAGTACGACAGTGTTGTGAAAACGGATTGTCTTAGCGATGAATGCATCCGAAAAAGATGTTATTTTCAACGCAAAATATCACTTGTGAGGTTGCTTACATTTGGCTTCTTTCAAATCGACTTCGATTAAACAATGACTCAGCTGGATCGCACATTAAAGAGGAAGGTAAGCTTAATATGTACACAACTCGTGTTTGGTTGCTCAACGGAATTCGTCCGCTCGATTTATATTTCTCTGCTAGATTTAGAAGGGTGACTTTTCGGGTGCTGTTTATTGGTTTTAATATGTAGTTTCCATCTTTTTTGTTTATACAGATATGAATGTGGTCTTTCCTGCAAATTGCCTTCGGAATCCTTTGGAATAATTACTACTTCTGGCAGAATTAGAAATCGAAAACTGTACTTCGATGGACTGCATTGATGCATAAGAAGAAATATCATATTTAGAATTTTCATGCCTGCTACGTAAAAACTATGCAAGAGACTGATAAATTATAATTGTGGCTGACGCCGTTTTTTCCCAAGGATTAGGTAGGACTTTGCTATAACTAAATACCATAGTGGTTCTGATCGAGGAAATAAGTAGCACTTCCCTTTTTTGTTGGATTAAATACGGTTTATGCATTCAAGTATTAGCTCATTTTTTTTCTCTCAATTATGCATCTGTTCGCCTGTTACTTTTCTTAAACACCAGGCCAAGATTCCTTGCTTTATATTAAATCTAAATTTTTCATTTAAGCTACTTCAATATGATTGCTGCATTCTAAACTGCAATGTATATAGTCACAAGTAAACATTAATTTGTTAAGCTACAGTATGTCAAATTTTCCTCCAAAAGCATGTTAAGTTTTGATTGATGTCTTTAAAAAGAGATTTATGCGGTCCCTTTATTGATTAAATAAATTGCAGTGGACCAAAATCTGTTATGTATTCCATTTGATTCACTGGATATTTTAAATGTCTAATTAATTCCTGTGAATTCTATGAAACTCCCTGGAGATCCATGGAATAATCGACGGAGTAGTTTCTATGGAATTGCATGGAACTTTTCCATGGAATTCCATAGAAAATGTCCTAATCCTCAATGGAAAGTGTCGATGCAGAAATTTCCATGGAATTCCATGGAAATTGGTGCCCTAATGTTTTCCATGGAATTCCATGGGAAATGTCCTAATCCTCCATGCAAATATTTTCCATGGAAATCTATAGAGAAATTTCCATGGAATTCCATGGAAATTGATGTCCTAATCCTCCATGGAATTCCATGGAGAATTTTCCATGGAAATCCATGGAATTCCATGGAGGTTTTTCACACGGGTAACACCATTACCATGTAAATACAAACAACACCTCTGATACTATAGTAGTCAAGTTTCTCGGTTCTCTTTTGATTACTATTCATGTTTTGCCTCAAACTGACTTAGACAACAGAATGATGTTACGTAACGGGAAAGGTCTCTTGGTTAACGAAGCTCCCTAGTAAGAAATCCAGATGGTTTGCTCTCCTAACTTGCCTCTCAAAGGTTAAAAAAGGCCGGGAATGGTTTTTTCTAAGTAAGCTTATGGGAAGGAGAAGGTAAAACTAAGTTATAGTTTACCTTTTCTGCTTTGTTCTCCTGGTACGTCTTGTTCCAGGTTACTCCATCCACTGAAACTCGTAAGTAATACGTTTTGGTATATTCGCGCGTGTTTAACGTTTGCGTGGCCACTTTACAAACAGTATGCACTGCACCCATATCAACTTGAAGATAGTCTGTCCTGTCACTAGTGGTCTTTGGACACCATCGGGTTCCCCTTGTTGTATTCACCCTTCCGTAGTACGGGTGATAACCCGAACTGTAAACTGTGCTTGCCGTCATTCTGGAATCTGGTATCTTCTTTGGGTCCGTTACCCCTACAGCGATACATGCTACAAAAATGGGCAATGCATATATATGTATTAATCATTGATTAATAAGTGATTTTATCCTTGTCTGATCGCTACAAAATTTTCACCAGAGATTGACTGTGAATTGCAGTTTGTCAAAATGCAGCTTTTAGTAAAATCAATATCGCTATGAGAACAATAAACAAAAAAATGATGCCCATCATAGATACCTCCATGGCTAGTACATTTTAGAATGAATTCTATCGCATATTTTGAATGTAAAACATTAACGATATTTACAGTGAAATGTACTAGCCATGGAGGTATGTATGGTGGACATTAATTTTTGTAATTAGCATAACGTCAAAACAGTGAATGTTGTAACGCGGATTTTTAGCCAGTTCGTAGGCTAGGTTCGTCTTAAAATTCAAGGTGTCACAGACCTTATTATATTACATGAAGATTATGTGATGAGATTTTAAAAAAATTCTGTCGAGCCGTTTTAGAGATATTCAGAAAAGGTAAAGTTGCACTTAGACAGGTGGTGAGAAAACAGGTAAGTTTTCAGGATCGCAAGAAAGAAAAATACACCAAAATTTCCTAGCATCGTAAAATGATGTTAAGCAGCCTTCTGACGCTACTTTAGATTTATTGGAGTTGTTTAGAACCGCCACTGAAAATATTAACGCTTTATTGGAATTCAAACATACGAAATCTTTTACTTCTCTCGGAGGTTATTTGCTAAACATCACACTTTAAGTTACTGGTGTCGGATTTTCAGTGGCAGATCTAGATCGCGCAAAATTCGGGTTTTATCGATTTCGAAGTCTTTTTGTTTATTGTTGTCATAGTTATATTGATTTTAATAAAAGCTGCATTTTGACAAACTTCAATTCATAGTCAATCACTGGAGAAAATTTTACAGCGATCGGGCAAGGATAAAATCACTTTTAAGGAAACTGAAGAACACCGGTTTGGTATCGGAAAAACTGTATCGAAACACCTTAAAACATTCTCTATCAAAGATGAGTAGGAAAAAGTGCACAAGAGAGGAGTATAAGCAAGTGATGGAAGCGTTCTATACTGAGGTTAATAATCCTGGAAAATGCTCCACTACAACTGCCACGAACAACATCTTAAGATAGCAGAACCCCAAATCCAGGCATAACCTTGATGCAAACAGGCTTGCGAATATGCGATTGGACATCATTAAGAACAAAAGGCTGATCACTGATATGGGACTATTCGAGAAAGGTAGCCCGGACCGCTTCTAAGCCTGTCTCAGCAGAATTGAACAGGGAAGCACTAACTCTTGACCAAACCGATGACTGACTTATTTCTAAAGCAAGTACATGAAGAAAGATGTCACCTGCATCTGCCAGAGTCACCCTCAACGAGGGCCTCAATCAGAAGAGACAGCAAACATGAAATTGCTCGTACTTCATGATCAGGTATGGGAAAAGGTAAAAGAATAACTCACTACTTAAAAAATCTCTACATGAATATCACTGGAGAACCAAAGATAACCATCATACGAAATGTATCATTCATTATGCCGTAGGGCATTACAGTGTTACTACTATAACTGGGGTCACCTAGACAAAGTTTGCCATTCGGATTAAAGTGAAAAAAAAACAATAGATTCCGAGAAAGTTAGTTATCACCTGCATGCCACGAAACGAAATAAACAATATGGATCGAAATCAACAAACCAAAACCTACAGACGTGACCTTTTGAGCCCGCTGAAGAAACCCCTGTTTACTGAAAGGTTCGTTAGCTTGAGTGACGGAGGCAAAAAATGTGTAAAAGCTAGTTATAATTTTGACTTGAGGTCGCAAGATTTTGAAAAGCGTGGTAATGGAAGCGAAGAAATTGCTTGCAGAAGACAAAAGAAAAATATGGTCTGGTGAAACATTTTGCTTTCTTGGAAAACGTTTGCTATCAATATTTAAATTGTGTGCTTCGAGTAACTTATTGTTTTTTTTTTTATGAGTTGCTGATTGGCCCACAACCATGCAACTTTCTTGGAATGTATTGTTATTTTGCTGTAATCCAAATTGATCAACTTTGTCTAGGTAGCCGAAGTAACAGTAGTCGCACTGTACGAAAGTGCTCCCTACCCCTCCTACTCTGATAGGAAGTAACCAGCTCATCTACGTCACCACAGTAGTCACCACACAAAAACAGGGTGTAAAAACACAGCGGCAAAGTTCTCACAAAAAGAGAATTTGAAGGAACATACCAACATCAGTACAGGGCAAACTTTATTCCATTCCACAAGACGTTATAAGCATGAGTTACACCGTAATTTTTAGGGAGTTATTATAAAAGTATAACTCCAAAAATGGAGTAAACATTTTAGGTACAGGATAACCCCATTTTTGGGGTTATTTTAACTCCTAATTTAACTCCGAATTTGGGGTCATTTTTACTCCTGAAAAAGAGTTCTTTTTACTCCCAGTCTGGAGTTAAAATTACTCCGAAATGGGGTTACTTGTACTCCTTACATGGGTTGTTTTTACTCGTTTTGGAGATAGTTAACTCTGAAAGTGGAGTAAAAATTTTAGGTACAGGATAACTCCTTTTTTGGGGTTATTTTAACTCCTCAATATCTGGGGTCACTTTTACTCCTGAAAAAGAGTTCTTTAAACTCCTTTTTGGAGTTAAAATAACTCCACGAAAAATAACTCCACTGTCAGGAGTTAAATTAGCCCCACTAGAAGAGTTATTATAACTCCCTGAAAATTACAGTGTAGACTCAGTTCAACCTGGGGACCCGAAGACCTCAAGGAGCTCCCGCCAAGGATGCTTATATAAGAGTTCTGTAATCAGTTTATCGAGCCAATCAAGGTAGGCAAAGCGTCAAAGCCAGGAACAATTGCAAACTAAGTGGGAGTAAAAGAGATGAGCTGCACTGAGCTATTGCCAACAATGAGTATACCCAAAGGCGCATATGAGGTGGCAATGTACCTACTTTCACTTGAAATTGTGCAAAGAATACCATATGGTATGACCATGTTATTGAAACACCATTACCATCCTATGGGACATGCCCATCCATACAGACAGGAACCATATCCGCTAACTGTCCAGACATTGTTGCGAAGGACAATAGAGATAATAAAAGTACTCTCATCGATTAAGCCACACCGTCTGACAGAAATACCTCTACCAAAGTGCTAGAAAAGCTGTCATAGTATAGAAACCTTGAAATAGAAATTGAAAGGATGGTCCCAGTTGTCACAGGATGGCAAAGAGGAGAGGGGGGGTACCTATCACGCATCAGGCCGAGTTTTTTTTTTTTTTTTTTAAGCTATCACCCATCACGGAAAAATAAAATAAAATATCAACTACATCGACAGTAATCATTGGGTCTGAAGAAATCAGAGGTCGAGGAACGAGTAAAAAGGGCAAGAAGTTGGTGTCATATCTAGGTAATTTTAATGTCTCCTGCTTCTAGTTTCAAATGATGTTAACCATCAGGGATCGAATTCAAAGGAAAATCACGCCTCACGCGTTGTGAACATAGTAAATCACGCATCACGCTGCAATGCCCAATCACGCCTCACGAGGCTAATTTAGGCCCGATCACGCATCACGCTGATCACGCGTCACGGAAAACCCCTTTGCCACACTGTTGTCACAGGATCCCTTGGGGTGATTAAGAAAAGACTGGAAGAGAATATCTGTAAAATCACAGGAAACATCAATCTTCATGAAGTTCAAAACACGACACTACTAGAGACGGCAAACAATGATGTCGAAAATACTCAGTCAATCAAGTAGTAAGAGACAAATTCCCTTGGATGCCCTAGCTCCATGATTTGGTCTGGGCCGAGTTCAAGGACAAAAGAAAACAAGATTAGGATATTTAAACCACTAACAGAAAAAAGCAAAAAGAAAAACCTTCCCTATTAACGAGTTCTTTTTTTCACACAAAATTTAATGCGCTTAACATTTTGCGCTTCAGAGAATTTTGCAATCAGAAAAGCTTTAACATAAAACGCTTCTTACCTAGAGACCACGCGTGTTGAAATAACAGAACTGTGCAAAATACGATCCGAAAAAAGCTGTCCATGGTTACTTCTGTGAATGGGATTGAAATTTATTTTAAAAAAAGGACAGTAAAATGACACACACAACATAACCATAAACTCCTTAGTCCAGTGCCTTAAAGCGGACAATAACTAGGAACGGTTGTGATAGCTCAGCTTAACAACCCGAGGGGGTACTTGGGTTAAATTTAGCTACCCCATTATAGTCTATTCTGTGTCCAATTGCAGACCCCATCTTAGTCACTTTGGGTCAAATATGTAATTTTCGCGATCCCAACTTAGTCACTTTCTATTTTTATGAATTGACCCATTTCTTAGATTGAATGAAGAACTCTTTACTTTTCATCTACAGTACAAACATTCTGGTACGTTTGCTAACCATAAATATGAAGAACTGTCTTACCCCAAAAAATCCGAAAATGTGCTACCCCATTCTAGTAACTCTATTGGATATGCGACCCCATTATAGTCAATCCAGCCGTAAAAATGCGACCCCATCCAGCGGCACATCCCCATTAGCCTCTTATAAGGAAGTAACCCTCCCCCCTCCGGGCTAAAAACAATTGCCAAGCCTTACGATAAAATTTGAGATTTAATAAAACAGTCGCGGATCAACAAACTTCACCTTCTTGCGACAATACCAAACCCACATTAAAGTCTCAAGGGTCGTGTAACTCCGAGAAATTATTAAATTGTAAAAACGTTATACAGTTATTGACTCCTTACTGTGTAAGCATCACGTCAACAGACAACATCATACTTTCGATAGGCTATCTGTTTTAGTAATATAAAAATAACTAGCCAAAAATGTTATATTCCCTTTTTTCAGTAAGGTCTTATTAGGTTAACTTGAATGTAAGAGCTATCGTCTTCCTCTCGCGCTTTTAACCAATCGGTGGTTATCTCGCATCCGTCTGGGGTGAATTGATAAGATTTACGTGAAGGGATGTTTGCCAAGAAAAACGGGACTTGCCCTTCCTGCCCTAG